AGGAGGAGGAGGAGGAGGAGGAGGAGGACAAGGACAACGAGAAAACCGCGGTTTGACTGGCCGCGGCGAGACGATGATGATGATGCACTGGTTCCTCCTCCCTCAAATCATCCAAACACACCAGTCACATATGTAACATACCTATAGACCAACATACTACCTATAGAAATGCTAGAGTGAAACGCTCCTCTTCTTTGGTCGGTAGAAAATTGATGGGAATTCTTTTCTCATTCTCGGGTTGGTGGTCAAAGGAGAAGCCCTCACGGCAGAATAGAACGCATGCGTATGCCTATGCCTATGCCTATGCCAGCCTATACTGGCGAGTAATCTAGCATAAACATGAATGAACCTATTGTACTAGGTATTCGTCGAAAAATTGGGGGAGATGCACCGACTACAAGAGCAGCCGGGCCACACTCTGTTCCTTGGTGCAATAGCATCTAGAAAAACTAAACTCCCCCTTTCTACCACAGGCAGACACGTCTCTCATGCCATCCTGCTCCTGCTTCCTTGTGCGGCCACAGAAGAGAGATAGAAAGAGATTGCACACATCCCGAGGCGCGATCGTCCTAGCCTGGACTCGCGCAATTCATGGACCACCGAGCTGTCGAGGATATCAGCAGCCCCCGTCCAACAGAGCGCGCGCCTCTCTCGTCCTCCTCGATCATCACCCCCTCCTTGAGCTCATAAAGGTTTTCACATGTGCTTTTCGTGTTTTTTCTTTCTTTGGAATGTATTCATAGTGACACGCAATGCAACCCCAGACATCCCCCGCCGGTTTACACGCTCTCCAGAGGTGCGGGCTCCTTGAACTCCCTCTCGACCTTCCGGCCTTCGTCATCCTGGCCGCTCTCGCCGTGCAGACCCAACAAAGCGCCGAGGTCGAACTTGGGGGCCTTGAGCAGCTTGACCTTGCGGATGTGTACGTTCTGGAGGGGGTAGATGCCTTGGGTGGACTTTTCAATCTCGCGTCCAATGACCTCGGGGATGAGTTTGCCGGTCAATTGGGCGAGGGTGACGCTGGTGGCCTCGCGTTGAATGATCTCGGTCATCTTCTTGCGAATGGCCCGGATTTGTGAGGTAGCGGCGTATGTTGTCTTCTTGATTTGGTTGGGGCGACGCTTGGTGAAGGCGATGGCGAACAGCCGCAGAAGGTAGTCATCCGTGGTCTTGACAGTGACGTTGGCCTCGATCAACGTCTGCCACTTCCTCACCAAACTCCTCAGCTTGTCTGAAGTGAAGTCCAATCCGTGGAAGTTGGTCAGGCAGTTCTTGCCCTGGATCTCGTCAACCCGGAGCTTGACCTTGCGGAAGGCATGGTCTTCGTCGTTCTGCAGGTCGGCAAGCGAGACTTCGAAGATACGGCCCTTGAGGGCATCATTGGCGGATTTCAGACCCGTGGTGCGGTTCACGAGGGTTTTGCCGACACTATGAACACAAAAATGTCAACACATGATTCTTTGCGAGTGGCCATTAAGAGTGTGGTTGTAGACATCTCTTGTTCCCTTTTGTTCCTTCTCTTCGCAGTGGTGGTGGTAGGGGTACATTGGAGGGGGACGTACTCTCGCTGGTTGAATGTGGACGGAGCCTTGATCGAATACCAATCTTTCCGGGTGAAGGGATCCTGCGTTCGCTTCTTCAACCCCTTCTTTCCCTTACTCAATCGCTTGTTCCTGAAGAGCACAAAGATGTTCGTCAGTTCCTGGCCTTTACAAGGTTTGCTGCTTTCCTGCGCAAGTGTTGTGCGTTTGCGCAGGGAGATACAAAATTGACCTGCTGGGCGGTGGTGGAGGACTGGACTCACTTTCCAACAGCCATGATTGCGACGGGTGTCTTGTCGCAGGATTAAGCTGTCTGGGTCCGATTGAAAAGGCAACACACAAAAGTTGCTGATGTTGGGTTGAAATTAGGTAGAAGACGATGGGGGTGGTAGAAGTTTTGATATCGCAGTCGACCGCAGTATGTGGGCGGAAATATTCTCTTGGCGCCGAATATTGCGGAGCAACTTGGCATTTGGCGCAGAATATTTCCTACGGCGGAGCAAATACCGGGCTCTCGCGCACTTTCTATATCCTCCAGTAATAGTCACGGTCAGTGGAATCAGGTAGGACATACCACAGATAACAATCTTCTCGTGCCTCGCTGTAAACCCCCAGTCATCAAGGGTTTTAATATGGCAGCGCGAGAAGATGTGACGTATGAATTTCAACTGGCACAAGATCAATGACTGGGAACAATTCGGCCCGACTCTTAACTGCTTCATGATCACGACGAGACTTCGTTTTACGCGCTGAATCTATTCAATAGTTTCTGTAATGGCAACCGCAACAAGCCACTTTTTGGATGGTCTGTGAGAATATCTATCATCTCCCTCTCCTGCTGTGGATGCTTTGCTTATGGATTCCTTCTCATCTGATCATGGATGCGTTGCTCGTCAAATCAGTTCACACGTATCTTGTGTCGTTGACCTTCTCTTTACACACTCATGTTCTTCATCTTGTCCGCGACATTCTCCGCCGCCGGCATGTCTCGCTTGGGGCCACCTTCAGGTGCGCCTCCTGCCTTTGGCTTGGCTGGTTGCTTGACCTTTGCCGAGGTCGTATCTTTGGGCAATTCCTTTGTGTATGGAATGATGTCCGGCGTCCCGGGTGGCATATACCGTTTCAAGACCTCGGGCACTTCAATGCCGTCTTCTTTTTGATAGTTCTCCACCAGACAGCACAAGGTCCTCTCTGTAGCACACAGCGTTCCGTTCAGGGCATGAACGTACCCCTTCCTCGTGTCGATGGCGCCTTTTTTCTGTCCGTACCTGATCTCCAGCTCTCGCGTCTGGTAGTCAGTGCAATTTGAGCAGGACACGAGTTCTTTGTATTCGCCCTGGTACGGGAACCACGCTTCCAGGTCGTATTTTTTCGCCGCTGCGTTGTTGAGTGCGCCCGAAACGATCGCCACCACCCGGTAGGGGAGCTTCAGGGATTGGTAGAACTCTTCGGCAATGGATTTCATGTCTTCCAGTGCTTGCCAGGACTCTTCGGGTTTGACAAAGAGGAATTGTTCGATCTGGATAGACGTTCCTGTTAGCACGAGCGGGCGGGAGTTTCTTGGAATGATGGAAAGTCTTGCCTTCTCAAACTGGTGTATGCGAAACAACCCCCAGGCATCTCTTCCGTGGGCACCAGCCTCCTTGCGAAAACACGAAGAATAGCCTGCAAATTTCATGGGCAGATCCTTTTCCGTCAACCACTCTTCGGCGAACATTGCTGAAATGGGCTGTTCCGAGGTCGCAATGAGAAACTTGTCCTCTGCGTCCTTGTCTTCAACGACCTTGTAAAGCTCTTCATCGAATTGCTCCAGCTGTGCGGTTTTGGCCATGTATTCTGCCTTCATGAAGTAGGGTGGTTGTAGGGGATCGTAGCCCTTGGAGACGAGGAAGTGCAGGCCGTAGTTGATGAGGGCTTGGTTCAGCAGGACGCCCCATTTGCGAAGGAAGTACCCTCGATGACCGACCAGCTTGACGCCTCGTTCGCCATCGTAGACTTCTGCCCGGGTCATCACCTCATGGTGGGAGAGACAGTCTCGTTTTTCTTCCGTGAAGCCTTCCGGAGCCCATTTCTTCACCACCTCATTAAAGTCCTATTGCCCTTCATCATCAGTCTCGGTTCTTTCGGTTGTGTCCTATGGATTGGTTTCTTAACTGACCTCATTATCGTTGACCGGCACCGACTCGTGCACATAATTGCCAATCAGCTTGCACTTGCGGTCTCTCAACTTCTCCTTCTCTACGGCCTCCTCTTCGACCTTCTTCTTCTCCTTTTCCAGGTTGATCTTTTCTTGTAGCAGATGGTCCGCGTCTTGCCTTGCCTATACACCACCACCCATCAGTCCGGGATGTTCACAGGGAGATTCACAGGGAGATTCACAGGGAGATTCACGGGTAGGAGGGGGGTCGACCGACTTTCTTCAACTGCCCGATCTCTTTTTGGACCGCATTGATCTTTGCGCCATACTGGCTGGCCTTGTACCGTGCTAGAACCTCAGTTAGAGCCAGTTCACACGGATACACAAGGGGGACATACTCTGATAGGCGTCGTTCCAGAGCGCAATGACCTCGTCGACGATCTCGGTGGGGGCGTATCGCTTTTGCAGACTTTCAATCACTTTTTTGGGATCTCCCCCTCTAAACGGACCGGTGAGACCAAATTTGCGACGCTGACCTGTAGAGGGGCGATCTTACCTCGAGACAATGAGGTCCTGAACTTCGATCATGATGACGAGAGGATCGGGAGCAAGGCAAGCACGAGAAATTGAGGAGTCTGCAGGCTGGTAGATTGCGCTTCTCAACTGCACGTGTGGTGCAGGTGGTCGAACCCCCCCTAACAAAATGTGTTTGTGCCCGCGCTTCCACCCCACGAAACCTGCGGAGCCTCGTGAGTCACTCCGACATGTGCCAGCCAGCCAGCCAGCCAGCCACCACGGCCCCCTTCAATGAAGATGCAATATTTAGAGAGTCAGCGTCTAAGACGGAGGTCTCACAACGGCGGACAAAACCAAGTATAGGGCGATATTATTATCCTAGCTACTTTGCCCAAGTCATAACCAATTCCATCTCTTTTCTCTATTGCATGATCTTGCGAACCCGATACACCGAGCATCCTCCCTCGCTCGACGAGCGAATGAAGGACTCTGGTCTCTGAGTGAGTCGCGTTCACCTTCCCACCCCCTCGCTGAAGCCCAAGAGTGACTGACACATTCCCACGATAGACGCCCGTTGTAAAGCCAAACATCTCCATGTCTATCATGCTGCTCCCCAACGCCAACTGAAGCCGACAGCGCAATAACAATAACAACAACACCACCACTTCCGACATGTTGAGACAACCAAAACCAGAAGAAACTCCTCGAAATTAATCAACCCCAGGCGGCACCGAATTCCCCTCGAGGGCTTTGGATAGTCGTGCAACAGCTGCTCTTCACATCACCGCACACTTGCCACCACCGGCAGGCTTGTCTGGTTCCTGCGACTTCTCGATTTCGGCGATCATCATCTCGAAGGCTTTCGCGACGTTGTGGTTATTCCGTGCGCTGGTCTCAATCCAACCACAGTTGAGTTCCTGTCCGAGCTTTTGCCCTTCTTCGGCGGTGACCTTGCGCTGCTTTTTGGCGTCGACATCGCTCTTGTTGCCGACGATCATAATGGGAACGGACTCGGCACCCTGGACGACCGGGGACATTAGCACAGCCTGCAAGAGAGGCCGGGAGGAGGCTTTCAGGGTGGCTTACCAGATGATTCAAGAGCTTGTCTCGGATAATCCTCACCATGTCAAAGGATTGCCGCGAGGCCACCGAGTAGACGATAAGGTAGCCATGTATACCGATATACAGCTTCGAATTCATGAGACTGTACTCGTCCTGTGTCCCACCAAAACGTCAGCGCACTCAAAAAAAAAACCCCCCCACCACCTGTTCTGGAAGCATGATGCCTCGTACCTGTCCAGCAGTATCGATGATTTCGGTGAGAAACGTCTGGCCCTTGTAGGGAATTTCATGGCTGAATGTGTTCTCGATTGTAGGATAGTAGCTTTCCACAAAATGTTTTTCGCAGTATTGGACGGTCAGAGAGGATTTGCCTGCGCAACCGAGAAAGGGAAACTTGTCAGTCTATGGCCGTCTTTCCTTGCCGTCTACTGGCTCTTTTCCCGTGTACAACAACATGTCTAGAGGGAGAGGACTGACCGACAGATCTACTGCCCAGAACAGCGATCTTTCGCTGCTTGACCGAGGGAGCCATGTTCGACACAAAAATCCGGGACGTTTTGTTTTCTCAAGAGGAAAGCGAAAGTATGGCGTCACAACCCTCAGAACAACAGTTCGGATCCCAAGTCACAGCCCAAGAAAAGAGTCGGCAGCTTTCCTAGCGCCAAAAAAAGGGTGTATTCGAGAGGCAAAATGTCAAGTAAGAAATGATCGTCAGAGAGAAAGCGACAGACAGGGTAAGGCCATGGAAGAAATCGAATACAGGCCGACCGGGCCAGATGGAGCAAATCAGTATGTAATAGGAACTGGGGTGATGACGGGCGGCGGCGGAATTACAAGTTGGTTAGGTACCCAAAGCTTTTTACTAGATTTCTGTGTCAAGGTTTATTTTTGTTTGGTCTTGTCGTGTCGCAGCTGCGGATGAGCGGTTCTTGCCGTGATATTCAGTGGAATGGTATAATGAGATGCCGATGGATGGGACGAGATGGAGGGGGTGGGTGGTGTTGGTGGTTGTGTGATGGTGGTAGTGTTATGATGATGATGATGGTGGTGGTGATGATGGTGACGGTAATGGTAATGGTAATGGGAAATGGTAATAATGATCGGGAAGAGACGGTATGTATAGCCCATACTCGAACATTAATTCAGGCCAAGTGACTTGCCGTAACCTCACCGACATTTTGCGAGACTGGTACAAGGTAGCCATGTGAGAATTGGGAAAAGCATGCCTGGCTCTCTTTTTAATTTTTGTTGTTTGACTTTCTCCCGAAGCAATTCAGGCCACGAATAATCCAAAGTACCGGCCGGAATGCATTTTGTTTGGCGGGGGGAATTGTCGCAATACATGAGACCTGCACGCTACGAATATGCAGTATCTGTTCCCCGCAGCCAATAGTGACAAGAGTGAAAAGACTTGGATGGGGCCGAGGGAAGAAGCGGGCCTTGAATCGGGCCAAAGGGGGGGGGGGGGGGGGAGGGTGGAGGTGGGAGAATGAAGAGGGTTGGATATACGGAGTATACCTCGTACTTGTATTCTCGGTAGACAACGTCGATTAATATCAGAGACAAAGCACCTCTGCACCTCCGCACCTCAAGTCATCGTAGCAAGCGTCTCTCTGTACGTGCATGGATCTCGAATCCCGCTCAATGATGCCGGCATAGATACACCTCCATATCCTGCACCACAACCAAAGCTCAGGGGGTATCAACGACTTCTGCTATGCAAAACCCCATGTTGATCGACTTCCGACATATCCCAATATTCATTCCCTGTACCCAATGTCGTATGTGGTGTCTTGTAACTGTATCTCATATCTTTCATCAAAGCCTGTCCTCGTACCCCAGGAATCATCAATCGCCACGCTGCTTCACCGTCTCAAGCACCACCCTGAATCGTTCAGTAAACCCCGTTGAAGAGCTGCCTTCTTCTCCAAGTGCCGCCTCAACCGTCTGAAGATGGTCGAGGAACGTATCTGCAGCTGCAAACAAGGCTGAAAGCCCCTTTCCCTTGATAGATTGCGAGATCCGCTTGCACGCAGTTGGGTTCAGGCACAGTGTGCAGAGCAATGCGGAAATATATCCAAAGGCGACTAAGATTCGAGTCTGATCTATGGTCAAGGCCTGTAGTAGTCAGTATCTCGCATTTTGGACTTTCAGTCAGGGGCTCATACCTCGGACGTCTGGTCGACATGGCGGTTAAATATGTCCACCAGCCGCTCTACCATGTTCTGCTCGCCCACCATCGGCCTCAGCATCCGCTCTCTGGCTCCATCTGCGCATTCGGCAAGATTGAGAAGGCATCCAACAGCCAGAATCACAGATTCAAGTTGCGCATGGTCAACCTCCTGCTCTTGCGTCGCACGCCTTGCCAGCTCCAGAAACTGGTCATCAATGACCCGAAACACGGTGCCGATAAGTCGTCCCTCAACTAAGGCCTCACAGGCTGTTGCATCATTGTTGCTGAGGCTAACGATGAGCCGAAGGCACGAGTGCTCAATTTGCGGTTCCGAGTGACGAGCTTCCTTCATGACGCTGGCCACACTTTCGCCCAGTCCCGCTATACGGGGAGTCACCACGATAGACCCGGTCAGCTCGTGGTTGGCACAGGCAATCTCCAATATCGACAGCAAGAGTCGGATGGTCTCTATCTGCTTGACCATACCACCCACTTCGGCCATGTCCTGCATCGTCGCAAAGTTGGAGAGAATAGCGTCGAGAAGGCCTCGTGGTAGTTTGGGAAATGGCTCCTGTAGCCTGATAAGATTTCGCAGAGTAGATTCTACAGAACCAAGCACGGTTCTGTTGACAGCCAGGTAGAGTTGACCTAAGCTTTTGGACCTCTTCTCCTCAAATTCTGCAATATCTCTTATAAGAATCCTGGAGATGTTCTGACTTCGGTCTTTTGCAAGTTTGGTCAATGACCTGGATTCGGAAGCCAGCCGTGGAGGTAGCTTGTAAAGAGCATTCAACATCTGAAGCACGACCTTTGGCGATGAGCTTTCCGCGATGACTGTGCAATGAAGAACTAGAGCAAGCAATGTCGCGCTGACCTCGTCCAGGGATCCGTTTACGCAGTCTAGGAGACGCTGAAGGCCACCAGAGTCTTGGAAATGACGGAGGAAAGAGATTTCGTCCAGCTTGGGAACAAGTTGTAGAAGCCCTGGAATGCGTCGTGACTTGGAACCTGATTGAATATCTTCCAAGATAGTGTCCAGCTCCAAGTCGAATTTTCTGATTGCTCCCCCACGTCTCAATTCGTGGATGCTTTTGATCCGGCTGAAAGGGTCGCCTTCATCACTGTCATCATTGTCTAACTCCATCTGCGACGTCACACTGGTGAATGCCAATGCCTGAGAATATATCTCTTGCGAAGAAGGCTGGCTATTTGACGCTGAATAGCTCTCCAAGCTCTCGGCCATCTCGCTCAAGTATGACCTTTGCTTAGCGTAAGTGGCTCTTGGACGTCCCGAGGAAGCAGCAATGGCTGTACTGGGTGGCTTCTTTTCGGAATCAAGACTAGCCTTTGCCTGGCGATCTTCTGAAAATCTTCCAACTGGTGCGGTGCCGCCATTGAGTTGATTGGACTGTTGCTCTTGCGAGATCTCGGTGCTCCGGGCGCGCGGAGCGTCCAGTCGGTCAATCAACCTAGTTCGGCTGCTTCTAGCCGGCTTGAGAGGGACATCATCCATCTGCTCGTCCTCGGACGAAATGTGGAACTTTTGCGAGCCTGAATCAGGCGTCAGACGAAGGGAAGTCAGATGTAGGTCACTTGGTGTGGGCGAGGCGATCAGACTGTCGTCTGAATCACGCCTTTTCCTCTTTGGAGTGCTTCTACCAGACGGCTGTGATCGGATAGATGAATCTGACTCTTCCGGAGACGCGACGTTGGAGACCTGAGGTCCGTGTGAGCGAGGCGCCTTTGGAGGGATTGGCTTCCCCCGGTAAGCTGACCTGCCGGTGGCAGCCCCTTTCACTGGAAGCTTGAACACAGGCGCGACGTTGGCTGCATTCGAAGAGTCTGGTGCAAAATTTCCGTGTACGGACTTGGGTTGTAACTTCTCATTGATATTTTCTTTTGGGACACGCATTCCCTTTGTCTTGGGGATGAAGACCTCGGGTTCTTTGTCGATCTCCATATTATTCCTCGATTGGTTCGGTTTTTCAGATACTATCTTTCTCTTCTTCAAGCCGCGCTTTGTTTTGAGACTTGTTAGCTCATCCTCGGATGAATGAAGGTCGAACAAGGCTGAGGATTCGGGTGCGGCGAGGGGCGCTTGGGCGTGTCCAGTCGAGGAACTCTCCTCTTTCTTCACAGAATTATATAATGTTGCATCTCTTAACTCATTTTGAAGTTGACTATGAGGTGTACTAGATCCATGGGCAGATCGAGGAAGCATTGGGTCCTGAGGATCCGTCGCCGTTGTTTTTGTTGTTTCGATCGGTTTCCGCGCAGCGACATCAAAAAGGTCATGGATTCGGACCTTTCTCGATCCTTTGCCGTACAGGTTCCCTCTCCGACGTGCTGGAGGGAAATCCATAGTGCCCAATGGCGACTGGGTGCAGAAGTCGTGGATTCATTCGAAGTCCTGGTGCCGTAGGATAGACGCGACAGGTACGAGACTGTTTGTCTCATACATCTCAAATGCCGCAGATGAGATGAAGAGTACACATGGCCATTTTCTGGTGTCAAAGTCAGCGCATGTGGACTCACCCACCTGTTGTGAAGTTGTGTTAGTTCAAGATCGAGCAGTTGGGAAATGCATTGTCATGAATTGGTAGGTTTGGAGATTGATAGCGCCGGATGGTGATCTTGGTGCGGGGGTGATGTCAACGAATAAACAAACGGCCACTGGGGGAGCACTCACCTGCGCCTGGAACCGATGCTTAATAGTGAGGCTCGTGAGGAACAACAGGCCCAGAAGCAGGGGAAGCACGCCTGCAAGCTCTTGGTAGTTAAGCTTCGGCACCACTTTCCTTAATCACCCAAATATCTTCGGTACTTCCCCAGAGCATGTGCCTTTGGCCGGCGGCCATGTAACCAGGTCGTCCATGTCCACGAATGAACACAGCATGCTATCGCACGACGCCGACTTACAGACCGCCTGCCTTTGTATCTATGCCCGGTAAATCTGAAGCTCTCTGACAGCACCTCACTTTCTGTCCACATCCCAGCCTCGAAACGAGCCTGCGTTCAGTCTCCGCCCACGTAGACAAGCACTATCTCAAGCTTGAGCGATAACCTGCGATCTTCCTTCCCCAAGGTCACGCGAGCACCCACGATCCTTATCCCTGCAGCCGTCTACCACATATATTGCGTGTAGCTTATGGCTTCAGTCCCGCGAGCCAACGGGGTGCAATCGCCCGCTATAGGTGTTGGCCCTTCTTATCGTCCAGAGGAGGAAAAACCTACAGCCACCGTCTCGAAAAGTGTTGAGCAAGAAAATGTCCATGTCTTACCCCAGACTCCTCAGCTGATTGCTCTGTTGACGTGGGTACCATAAAGATCTGGAGTTATTGAGACAAGAGTGGCTGACTTGTTCAACCAAGCATGATTCGAGACAAGAACACCCAGCGAGCGGATTTCATCTTCTACTCCAATCGAATCATTCGTCTGCTTGTTGAGGAGGGTCTCAACCACCTTCCTGTCGTGACACATACCGTCACATCCCCTGTTGGCAAGGACTATGTTGGGGTAAAATTCGAGGGGAAGATCTGTGGCGTTTCGATCATGCGAGCAGGAGAGTCAATGGAGCAGGGTTTAAGAGAATGTTGCCGTTCAGTCAGGATAGGCAAAATCCTGATCCAACGCAACGAGGAAACCAGCAAACCGAAGCTTTTTTATGACAAGCTACCCCCGGACATTCAGAACCGATGGGTGCTGCTTCTGGATCCCATGTTGGCAACCGGTGGCAGCGCCATCATGGCCGTCGAGGTGCTAAAGAGCAAAGGTGTCCCGGAAGAGCGCATTTTGTTCTTGAATCTGATTGCAAGCCCAGAAGGTATTGAGAACTTTGCCAAACAGGTGCCCAAAGTGAGAGTGGTGACAGCTTTTGTGGACCAGGGTCTCAATGAGCAAAAGTGAGTAGTTCATATGAGTTGTTCATAAGCTGTGCAACTAACTCCTGCAGCTACATCGTCCCCGGCCTGGGAGATTTCGGCGACCGTTTCTATACACTGTGACGAACCAGCAGATGAAGATCAAGTGAAATACAATTTTCGCCATGGTGGCCTGGTTTGCTCTGTCACCCAGGTTATAGGAAAGAGTTAGTTGGTGGTGGATGGCAGGCCGCTTTCTTTCCACTGAACCACGAGAATGGCTTATAAACGACAATGATATCACGCATATGGAAATGCGGACACTGGGAGCATAGCACCGATACAAGATCCTCAACAAACGCGCAGAGTCTCTTGGTTTATATTACCCTGAATCATGGATCCAACCACAGAAGAGGCTCGAGCTACGCAAGGCTGGAGGTGAGTGACGCATGAGGTGATGTTTTTTGTGAAAGAAATCGCCAAATATTACAAGCGCCGCATCTTCCAGTCCCAACTCCTGCTTTTCATATTTGCATAGCCTGTAGCATTGTTGAATCCTCAGATCAAGGAAAGCCGTTATTGTCGGCACAATTTGCGTCTCCCTTTCCGAACGCCCTGGGTATAGCTGGCTGTTGAAAGCCGTATCTGTGTCGCACAATGTCGCCAGGCGCTCGTCCATTGCCATTGTTTTTTTTTTTGCCCGTCCCTCTATAGTCATTTTGGTTTGGTTTTGTTTTTCTTTCGAATCGTCCCATGTGTATTTCGTATTAGTCGTTCCCGGAGACCCAAACTTAGTCCTGAAGTGTCTTCAAACCTGGTCGTATCATCTTTTTTATTCTTTTTCTTCCTTCGGCTGATTTCCCTCCGTCTTGCATGGAGCCCTGATTCGAGGCCTGATGGGTGGTGGTATTTTTGATTTGTTGGGTTTACTGGGTTAGGAAGTAAGTAGGTAAGTACACGTGGCACAGGGTCGTCCAATGCTCTCAGAAAGGCACGGGTCGGTTGATTTAGTAGAGGATTCTCGTGAGAATCTTCTCCTTGACGCCCTCCAGCTCGGCATACAGCTCGGCTACCTGGTCCTCCTTGACGTTGCTGATATCGGCCATGAGATAGGCAACGTCACCTCTGCTGTCGGTCATCTGCTTGTCGACGTTGTGATCTCCGAGAAGGTGGTTGACTCTCCTCAAGACACCGGGGACGTTTTGATGGATGAAGATGACGCGGGCGTGGTCCGGCTCGTCCATGGTGAGCGAGCGTAGGGCGACTTCGGGCATGTTGACGGCGCCCACGGTGACGCCCTCGTTGACGTAGCGGACTAGCGCTTCAGCGACCTCGATGCCGATGGCCGACTGTGCCTCCTCGGTCGACCCGCCAATGTGGGGGGTCAAGATGATGTTCTTGAGGGACTGCAGGTCTGCTGTCCAAGTATTCAGCTCGTTGTTGAAATAGTCCCCGTTCCCTGCGGGTTCCGCCGGATACACGTCCAGTGCTGCACCAGCGATGTGACCCGAGCGCATCGCATCAATCAGCGCGGGGATATCCACGACCGAACCCCTGGAGGCGTTGATGAGGTAGCTGCCCTTCTTCATGGTCTCCAGCTCCTTTGCCCCGATCATGTTCATCGTTTCCGGCAGCTCGGGAACGTGGCACGTCACAAAGTCGGCGTCCTTGAGGAGATGTTCCAGGGAAGGAACTTGACGTGCGGTACCCAGGCCCATCAGGTTGACGACGTCGTAGTAGATCACGTCCATGCCCATCGCCTCGGCCAAGACAGACAACTGCGATCCGATGTGCCCGTAACCAATGATGCCCAGAGTCTTGCCACGAATTTCCCAGCATCTCGCAGAGACCTTGTTCCACGTCCCGCGGTGCAGTTCATTAGAGCGGTCGCCCAGTTGGCGAGCCAACGCGATAATTTCACAGATGACCAGTTCGGCGACTGAGCGCGAATTGCTAAAGGGAGAGTTGAAGACGCAGATGCCATGGGCCGCAGCATATTTCAGGTCGACTTGGTTAGTGCCGATGCAGAAGCAGCCGATCACGATGAGATTCTTTGCTGCTGCTAGCACGCGGGAAGTGAGCTTCGTCTTGGAGCGGATGCCGATGACATGTACATCCCTGGACAGGAAAACCGGGTCAGTGTATGCAGTTCCAACAATCCGAAAGAAGCCACTCGACTCCAGTCTTGGGTCTGTTTTCTTACTTGATCTTCTCAATCAACTGATCCTCAGGCAAGCTAGATTTCAAGCACTCCACCTGGTATCCCTGACCCTGCAGGATATCCCTGCCCGTCTGGTTGACATTCTCCAACAAGAGAATTTTGACGTCCTGCTCGCGGAAGGGTTTTAGATGCTTGGGTTGAGGGCCCGTGATGGTTCTCCTCAGGCTAGGAGAGCCCCCACTAATATTATCGACTCCGAAGGAGACTTTGCGTTGGTGAAAGGTGTCATTGGGGGAGGTGGACATGGAGAGACTGCGCGAAACCTCGCGACGGAGACTGCCTTGCGAGTCGCCATTTTGCTGGATGCGAATACCTTCTGAGATTTGTGAGGCAGGCATAGTGTAGGGTGTTCGCAGATCCAACTGCCCGAAAGGAGAGAATAAATGCTGGTTACACCAGAGAGGACACAAGGACAGGCAACAAGTGACAGGGTTACAGAGTACGAGGTACAATAAGTTCAATGACTCCTCGTCGCAGGCGGCGGGACAAATTTTTGGCATGTCCGGGTATGACGTGACGTTTTCTCATATTCGGGTTAGCTTCAGCCTTGCCCAAAGTATAAGAGATTTTCATTGGTCAATATTCTCTGGATCAGCGAGAATGAGCGATGACGAGGCTGAATGGGAGGGGGGAGTCGACCTTTTTCCCACAATTGAAACCCATATGTCCTGCCTGGTACGATCGAATTTGAGTCTCTACCGGCTATATCAGCTACTGGCTATCGCTAAGCAGTGCCGCAGCTTCTGATCCGATCATCGCTACTCTTCTGTATACCTCTTCCACTGATCTCTGCGAATCAATTCTCCATCTGGTGGTCTCCATCCTGTTCTTCCGCAGGAGTCTGCTGTGACATTTTGAGCGCTTCCATCTTCTCAACCTCTTCTCGTGGCACCTCGTGTCGATTGATCCAGCTCAGGATTCTCCATATGGCGGTAAGCAATTCCTTTCTTTGCTCAACCTCGAACAGATCCAGCCACGGGCTTCTGCTGACGTATAGGACATGTTCTTTGCGCTGATCGGCCTTGACGTTGCCTGCCGTTTCCTGCGAGTCGGGTCGTGATCTTCCCTCCTTGCCGAACTCCAGCCAGTCCAGGTAGTCCTCGTGCACACTCATTCTCAAAATGCACGCGTGATGGTTCGCAGCCGATATCATGAAGATGTCGTCCCAGCCACTCGGTCCTTCATCCTGACTTTGTTTGCCAATTTTCCGATAGATCAACTTCTCGTCCCAATGGGGCCCATTTGGACGGACTTTCGTCCACTCTTGGTACCACTTCCGCCGTAGGGGCGGGACATACATAAGTCGTCTCCCATCTTTGTACTCGACTTTGTCTTTCGGCGAGCCGCCCGCTTCACCACTTCTCTTCTTCTTTTTCGGTCTCTCGCTCGGTGACGAGGGACCAGACACCGCGTTTTCAGGCTGGAGATTTTTCAAGTCGGCGGCAGCCGCTGCCTCCGCTTTTCTTCGTTCCTCTTCCTCTTGTTCCCGCTTTCCCAGTTGTAGTCGTCTTTCGTCCGGACTCCAGCTTGGATCTTCATCCTCAAACACTTCGCTGGCAAGCTGTCCCCATCTCGTCTCGCCGCCGCCCCAACGGCTTTTGATTGCCCACCACTGATGCTCGCTCGGTTCTTTGGACAGCGTCTGTCCTTCTCGTGCGCGTTGCTTTGCGAGCATCAACATACCGCCGATTTCGCGGAACAGATCAAACTTTTCGCCCACAAAATCACTCGTCGGATTTAGAAGCCCGTCCCTCGACTTGAATCTTACCTCATGTCTGCAGTGAACCGCCATTAACGGACCTTCCACCATCCTGGCCCTCAAAAGCTTCATATCAGCCGGTAGTTTTGCAACGCAAAAATTATAGCACACAGAAGGGATATTAATGTTGTGGATTCTCAACTTTTCTCTCGGGCTCACGTCGTAATCTCGGCAGTTGAACTTATGCACGGCCATCTTCAAAAGGTTCCTCACTGCAGAGACTCGGGTACCAGGGCTCATCTGCTCGCCATTACCGAGCCGCACTCCCTTGTACACCTGCTTCATCTTTGGGCGGCTAGGTATCTCAATGGTGGAGGTAGCTGCCGGAATGTCGGAGGAATGACTTGGATCTGCCGTTCGCTCAAGCTCTTGCCCGGAACGCTGTGAATTCTCCACAGAATCCTGCATCTCAATATCAGGTGTGTTATTGGCACTCTGTCCGACGTTGTTAGTCTTGTGCTCGGTGTCCTTGGTCGGCTCTTCCGCGACATTGGTTTCGACCTCGTAGTAGTTATCTTTGCTATAGTCCCAGTATCGACTCATGTCCTCCAAACTGGCAAAAAAGTTTCTTGAGTATGCCAGGCGGGGTTTCTTCCTGCCTTCAAGAGGCGGGAGTCGGAGAATCTCTCGGTATGCATCTTCATTGTCGAACTCAAGTTCCGCAAGCATAGCAGTTAGATCGCTGTCATACAGGAGTGGACGTGATTCGAATTGCTTATCGGGCACCATCTCTGGAAGTGGAACATCTTGGACCAGGTCAATGTTGAGATGGGCGAGATGGGAGTCGTGGATGTCGGGCAGTTTGCGAATCGCGGCGAGCTCTCTGCAGATGTTCTTGATGTGTTGGCGACTCAATGGACTGTTACAGCGCGGAGGGACATAGCTGGGAAATTCCAGCGGGATAGGCTTCGGCGGCGGATTTCGTTCTCTTTCAAGAAGACCATCGCCTCCAGCGCCTGTCATAGGTCAGCACGTGGCCAATCCATCTTCAGCTCAGATATACAAAAGATGATGAGGGGGAATCAGCCGCTCTGAAAAGGGGTCTCGGTTGAGAATACCAGAGAGCGAGGATATCGAAAAATTCGATCAAAAGGCGGTATAATACCGACTCTCGCAGGCGAACTTCAGTCCGGGGCTTGATCACCAGCAGACTCTGGGCAACAGATATGCCCCAAGCTGAGGTCAAGCCAGTACAGATTCGTGCGGTATACGAAGCTGTTTCTGACACATCTCGGACCTCATGGCCCCGGGGTTTGGATGCCAAAGGCGTGCCTCGCTCCGTCGTGGCGTAATTCAGGTGGATATGGTTCGTATTTCAACTTACCGACAGCTGCCCAACTTACTCCAAACATGATTATAGGACTACCGTGTCGAGAGTCTTACCATCGAAGCGCAGCAGGTTGATGGTGCGCCGTTCCCGATCGTCGGGTTCACGTCTCTGTTTCGAGACTTGAGCACCAGGTCTTTGACTGTTAGACTCAGGGTTGGGAGATGCCGTGGAGTTGCGCTGAATACTGAATTACTGTCCGCAGACTTGGTAGTGCAACTTGATCAGAATGACAAGAGGAGATGATCGTCAAGTCGCAGGCATTCCCCAATGACGACGACGAGGCTCGAGCTGAGGCAAGGAAGCTCAGATCTTCAAGTCAAAGTGTTGGCGACCACTGGACTGCCTTCGCACCAGTGCGATGTCGACATCAAGCCCATCGATCTAGTGTGGCAATCCCATGTACAAGTCCTTGGGCGAGGAGGGGGAAGAAATCTGTGCTCCGGGGGGTCGTCGCAACTGGCGTTGCAGTAGCGGAAGTAGAGGTTATGGCGGCTTCTGGTGACAGGGGGACCTGCATAGCGTTGCAGGTCGGTGGATGGATGCACTATGCAGGCACGCAGGTTGGGATGGTGATGCCCCCGATGCTTCTTTTAGTCCCAGGATGGGCATTGATTCAGGGCCTGTGGGAGCGTGAGGCGAACGACCCGCCTGACCTGTCTTCACTGGAGTTGCATGCACCAATAGAGGGCCATTCACTATGGTTAGAGGAGATTATCGAGGTGCACTCCTCGGGACGCAATCACACGACGCTCTCTAGAAGGGAACAAGAGCATGGCAGATCGCAACAGTCGTGGACGAAACCCGAGAAACAGCCACGAGCCAAAGTCACCTGGTTGATCCGAACCCCTCGTTGCTTTATCATTGACGGCTACTGAAACCACTATCCCACATACGAAGCCATGATTTCTATGCGAGGTCCATAGGATGTCCTTGTCCCCGTCATTTTGGCCCAACATACCCGTCCAGGTGTGCATACCATCGTTGTGCGAGAGCACGTGGTTGAGATTGTCCTCTAGACCAGTCTCATGCGATATGCTCAATATGCTGCTCGTCACAATCGGCTCACGTCCTTCTTCACCGCACTTTTTCAACCTTCTATTCCTGCTTGGCCTCCTCCTCCTCCTCAGCCTCGCCAGCAAGGGCGTTTCTCTTGGTCTGGATACGTTCCTGTCTCCGTTCACGAGCAGCCTTGGTCTTGGCACGTTTGGCGTCCATTTCTTCCTTGAGGATTCTCTCACGTTGTTTCTCGGCCTTGGCCTTGTGGATCTGTAACATAGGTATTAATTTCCATGACTAAGATGAGAAGTGAGTAGGGCGGGTAGACATACATGTTCGACCAAAGCACGCTTGTGCTTGAAGGTGTTACCCTTGCTCAACTGGTAGAGTTCGTGGTAGAGGTGCTTATCGATCTTGCCGGCAGCACGGTACTTGACGAGCAGACGTCGAAGAACACGCAAGCGTCTCATCCATAGAACCTGGCTGTAGAGCGATATCCCATTAGTGTCAAGTTCTCTCAGAAGGACAGCGTTCGTTCCCGCCTCATCATGGAATCGTTTCATCATACCTGGGCATCCGAGCATCCTTGGTACCCTTTCTCTTACCGAACCCTCGGTGTCTGCCAATTCTTCTAGCCGCATTCAACTCCCTGGCACGAGATCTGGAATGCATGGCCACCGGCTTGCGGATGATGAGTCCATCGCTGACCAATTTCCGGATCGTCTGTCGCGAGTTGGCGTTGGAGATTTCGTTGACTTCGTTGGGATCGAGCCAGATCTTGCGTTTACCGCAGCCGACAACGGACGCCGCGAGGCGCTTCTGGGTGCGGAGGTTCGTCCTGGAAAAAACAAGCCATGTATCAGCGTCAAATCTTTCATCAACCTTTGTCATGCAGTTTCCACCAGCCAGCGGAACAGGTCTGTATTTGAAAGCCCAAGAATGTTGGCAGTTGAGCTTTCGCATAGAAAAAAGCTAGACTTACATCTTGAGACGATGACTAGAGAGCGGTCGTTGTCGTGGTGTGCAAATAAAACCTCGATCTCTTGAAAGAGTCAAGGTCAATCGACTGTCACAAATTCATGGTGCGCCAAGCTTGGCATTATTCGCGCTAGTCCGAATTCAGTCAACGAGGGGTACTTGTCGCCAGGCTTGGGCCATTGATCATTTGGGTGCTTGGCAAGGCTGGCTGGCTCTTGATACCATCAAGGATACCAAGGACAGTGGCAGGACACATTTTGTATCCTTTTCTACCCAGTACTGTGGTCCGGAATTCAAGAAACGCCGCGTGATTATAAATAGAGCTTTTATTGTACTCGACATGTCATGAGTGGACGTCCCACGATTGGACAGACAGGAGCCATTGTTCCTGCAGCGCCTGACGTCTACAACTGCACACCCAAAGGGCAGTCCTAATCCTTGACACATGAAAATTACCAGGTAATGGGACTTTCTCAGTTGTACATGTCGTTGGCAAGGTCCAGCAGCCACATGTAGTCTTGCTCTCGTTCCCGCAGCCAAGAAAACATCTCATCAGGCGCCTTTCAGAATCATAGCTGTTCATCCATCCCAAATCATAATCCATCCACGCGTATATCGTTCCCTCATACACAACAAGGAAGCAGAACATCTAAACCCGTGAAATTCAGCCCTACCCCAAACGGCCGGAAAATTGCAAAGTATAAATCGTGATTTTCGCCATGGGAGAGCGCTCGAAGGAAATCGTTTCGTAAAGGTCGTTAAAAGTCGAGGAATCAAACCGTGCGCGCTTGTTCCGTTCGTTAGTCTTTAATCTTTTTGGCTCACGGGCCGTCGTAAATCTCGTAATCGCTTTTGGGGGAAATATATCGTGATGTGGCGTTACCTCGGAAGTAGAGCCCAATCGCAAGGTGCAAGCCTGTTTTTTTTCCACTCGTCACACGTCTCTAAAACAGACAAGAGTCATCTCGACGAGAAAATTGAGACTTTTACCGCTGTCCTCCCGTCTTGATAGCTTGCATGTGGGGAGGTGTGTTGAGGGGCATGCTGTACGTGTCTTGACGTGCCGTCTTGCGCCGTTTCGGGTCATAACCATCATACTCTCGGCTGCTAGGACGGTCTTGATCATCGTCTTCGCGCCCGCGTTTCACCGAAGACACAGCGGAGGGATGGGCAGGAGCTCCATATGTGGGATTCCCATAGCTGTCCGTTGGCCCACCCTGTGGAGTGCGATCCCTGCCACCCATGACGTTATATACATTGCTGGAAGTGGGCGGTCGGGGCGGGGTGTTGTACTCTCCTGTCCACTGGGGTTGACCTGTAGGCATGGTCCTTGGTGTTGCGTGGCCGGAACTAGCTTGATGCGTTGGAGAGCCTGACAATTGCTCAGGAGACATGTGTGGATGCTCACCAGTAGCACTGTACGTGTATTGCCGACCTGTGCTGTAAGCAGAGGGGTTTGCGCTCATGTAACCGCTGTCTGGATGATCACTTTCATGTTGGGATGAGTGAGGCTGTGCGGAATATGCATCGGGCTTGGGGTCATGCCCATCTGCTCCAGTACTAGCGCTTCCTGGTGCGATCGGTGGACCCATATCAGTCTTCCCATATGGTACCGTCGGCATGGGTTGGCCATACCGGCTCCCGTCCGGATGATGCGCATAACCCGTTTGAGAACTGGGCGTCGTACTATAATAATGCTTTGAACTCTCATACCCCGACTGTCCTTGATAGGATTGCATCCCTGGTCCAGCGGTTCCAGGTGGAGTGGTCGCAGGCGTAGTAGGCATGGATCTGGCGTTCATGCCAGTGTCGATGGATAGTGGCTGTGCTCCCGGCGCGCCGTTCGTCATGCCCTGGGTTCCCCAGTCGTACGAATTTCCTTGACTACTCATCCCCATCACACTCGAAGCGCTTGTTGGAGGAGTCGGAAATGTATGTGCACGGTCGATACCCGGACGTGGTGCATTCGGATGCGGGGCAATTGAGTGCGGCGTAGGTGGAGCTTGGCCTGGACCGGGCATGCTATTGTGATGTTGAAGTGACGGTGCCTGAGGTTGGGGTGGACGAGTGGAATCGACGCTGTCCATGCGGCGGCGCTCTGTTGCTTGCACGACTGCATTCGTCCGAGACGCGTTCTCAGGATTGTAAAGCAGGCCGCCGATGTTGTGCACAAAAAGTGGGTACAGGAGGTCTGTAATCTTTTCCTTGTTGGCAAAATCGAGGGCACGTTCGAAAGGGATCCTGCTCCAGATTAACAAATGATTCCACAACGGGATTGTACGGCAAAATGTACCAGACTCCTTTCAGGTGCATGGGTCCGATCTTGACCACGTGGCGAGTCTTTTCAGATTTCAAGATGCCATCCCGGCGTCCCCGGGTCATTCCAGCAACATTCAGAAGCTTTGTCCCATTAATGAAATGATTATCTGCACAGAAAGTCAGCATTTATGGGTACAGATGAACAAAGGCTGGATTCGGGCGTTTACCTTCACGGCGAGCAACACAAACGCCCTTGGCCTCAACTTGAAAACACAGACTACCTTCATCTTCCCAGAGTGTTGCTGTTACTCTTGGTTTCATGCCTGGGGGAGCAATTTGACCAGTAGTATCAAACGGTTGCTGCTGTTGGGGGAAGCCTGGGTTCGGAGCGGGCAAACCGGACGGTTGAGCCACATACGAGTGTTGAGAGTTGGAGGCACCAGGCATGATAGCTTTTACATTGTCAGAAGGAGTCCAGAATTGTCTTCTCACAAATATGGGAGACCTACCAGGAAGTGAGGTGATCTGTTGCGCTACTGGACCAGTGGCAGACTGTGGAGAAGCAACACCGTTTGTATAGCCATAGGTCCCATAGGTGGGAGGAGGGCCGTAATGTGACGATGCGGGTATCGGAGGCTGTTGATACTGCTGGTAATGACTCAATGGCGCTGTAGAACCCGCATGGGAGTATGAAGGCCCGGACGATATGTGCGAACCGGGATGCATATCCAGGTACGACTGTGTTTGATTCATGTTGGATCGATATTCGGCAAAGCACCAATATTTGCTCGATGAGTTACGTCCGCCCAAGGCTAATCACAAGCAAAGGACAATACCACCCTGAGACAGTTGGATTTTTTGGATGGCGTCGAAGCTTGGTTCTTTGCGCCTCTTAGATCAATCACTAGAGAGACGGAGTCTTTCGACTTAAGAAGACTCAGCCTGAACAACCGAAATCCACAAATTTGTCCCGCCTCTTGACACACTTTGCGGAATATTGGCCCGTGTCAGGGTTAATCCGCGAGAATCAAAGCTTTATATGCCGACTGTGTAGGAGAGGAACTTGGGGTTCCAAGATATTCCCCGTACGAGATCGGTGGAATGATTCCGGAAGGGAAGGACTAGCTGGGTGAAGAGTTTCCCAAGCTCACAGTCAAGCCTCATCGACTATTCGTGTGTCGGTAGCCCGCGTCGACAATTTCTTCTTCAACAAAGAAGACCAAATTGCAGACGATGTTGCCAAAGTGCATGCACGATTGGATTCTCTGACCGAGAAATCCAAGGCGTTCCAGGTGTCTGCCCAGTGTGTCGATACTGGCAGTGGATTGCTATTTTCCCGCCGAGCGTTCCAGCACGGGAAGAAGGCGATGAAAGAGCGTCGTCAATAGGATCGCAAACTGCGCAGGTGGTCAAGACGTTAGCATGTATTTCATGATAGAGGTCGTGCAGCATGCAGGCACATGGAGCATGCAGCAAGATCAGCGGGAAAAAAGCAGCAGCTCGGTCAGGCTGTTTTGTGCGGACTACTGGGCACGGGCAGTTTCGCTGAGAGCAGACTTTTTTCCCGTCCTCTTCTGAGCACATACCGAACAACTGGAGAACGCTTCTCAAACATGAAACTTGAAAAGGACAATCGTGACGCGCAATTAGGCCATGATTATGGACGGGCGAACAACATACACCTGGATTGGGGGGTTTGCAGGAAAGATGGTTCAATGGAGATCTGGAGAAAAGAGACAACGAGGTTTGGGAAGCAGGTAGGATGCAGAGACGCAGACGGTGTGCAGTAGCCGAGCGGGAGGACAAGAAGGTGTGCGCAGGTGGTGCATTAGAGCAAAATAGGCAGAGGGCCAGAGGTCCAGAGGTCCAGAGCAGGGTGGAGGGACTGGGGGGGGAGGTCGGAGGGAGGGTGGTGTCAAGTTCAAGTCAAAGGGCAGCGGCCAGAAGCCCAGAAGCCAGAAGCCCAGCAAAGAGGCAAAGAAACGAAAGCCGAAGCCGCTTGCTCTTTGATCCCACCCCCTCCTTCAACGAGGGCTTGCCCGCTACCTGTGCCCGCTAACTGGCCACAACCCAGCGTGGGCGGTGCATGATTGGCAACAGATTGTTCCTTAACCTGCCTAGGGGCGTCCTTCCTTGATGACCCACTAACTCTAAAGCCCCAGCACCATCGACAAGCCAGTGCAGGCCCCAAGCATGCCCGCCCAGCGAGACAGCGAGAAGGGTTCCACTCCCCAACCATGGGCCTTTTGCCCTGCTGCCCAGTCGCAGGTGGTCGGTGATCCCTGGTCCACTCCTCCACCCACACTCTCTTTCGCCCTCACTCGTACACACACACAGAGACTTGCACAGACCATGCTCCCAGCGATCCCAAGTGTGCCGAAACTTGCGACTTCTGAATGCTCCACGAAAGGTCAAACAAAGACCCACGGCGGGCGGACGCAGGCTGCCAATCGCAGCCGGAAAACGGCTGGCTTGCCTTTCTTCCTTCGTTACGGAAGTTACTCTCCTCCTGCAACGACCACCCTTTTTTTGACCAAACAACGTTGCACCCTTGCCTATCGCCTCAGAGGGCTTGGGACAAAACTTACAATTACCATTGACCTTTGACGAACCCGCAAATTTCCTGCCTCCCTCCGTTCTACCAATTCCTTTGACGGAGGATCCGTGACCGGCGGGTACTTCAAAAAGAGACGGGAACCGATGACGGGTTCAAGGGCCCCAGTTTTACACGGTACAGTACGTACACAATACGGTCAACAACCGAAATCCATGTGGGTATACTCGTCTTTGTGCAAGTACGAAGTATACCTGCCTACCTACCAGTAAACAGACTCGTACGTCGGGTTGTGGTTAGTCCTCGGAGCCTGGAAGTAGTGCTACGGGGTAAGAGGTTAGCAATCCCTCTGACTGCGGAGCACACTGTACACAGGTTTCCTTTTCGGAACTGCTAAATTCTGATGATGATACCAAGGGCTAGTGAGGCCTTCTTGGGAAGCTCTTAAGCGCCCAAGGTTGAAGCCCTCCAAGCGTTTCTAGGTGCCAGCTGTGCGCCTTGCTGGTCGACTGGTGGATTCTTTGATTCCCCCAGCAGAAGCAACCATCGTGGACAGTCGAGCACTTTTGGAGCCAGCACAGGATGGAGTACATACCTCCCTGTATGTTGGAAAAACGGGCAGTTGTCAACCTCAAAGGGCAAAAGTTCAAACCCTCCAAACTTCTCCTCCCAGCCCATGGAAAAAGGTGTCGCGTCCAGTCAGCATGAGGCCCACCCAGAGACGGTCAATTGGATTTCTACGCAAGCCACAAGGAGCACAATTGACCCTAAAGTCCTGGACTAGAACCACAACTGCGAATCCATCCTTACCACCTGGCACCCAGCACACTTCCTGCCCCCCCGTACCGACCATGCCTATCAACTCAGGCTCGGGAGAGTCGTCGCCTTATCACGGACAGCCCCCAAGTTCCCCAACCAGCGTCGTGCAAAAATCGCCTGGCCACCTCCTCCAGTCCGACGCCAGGGCCCACGTACCGCCTGAAGGTGGATGTTGGGGAGAAAAGCGCCCTTCGTTTCCTTTCCAGGCACATGCCGTCTATCAAAAGAGTCATCACGCACTTTCTTTGCCCCCCTCAGGGTTCGGCCTCGAAGAATCTCAGTGCGACGTCTGCTCCTCCTTTCACGTTACGAGCCTGTTTCTGTTTCGCTTAGAATTCTCGTCTCGATGTTACTCAGTGGATGCTCATTCAAATTCGCAGGTCTGGATTTTAATTTGGCCGGTCTCGACGAAAAGGCTTGTGCCACAGTGTCGGACGATTTCCAGGTGGCACCAACCAACAGCAGCATGTCCCTCCATTTGCTTTTTTTTTCCCTTGCGGAGTCGCGTTTAGTCCGGAACGGAGAGGCCATGGTGCCCACCCTGGAGTGAGGGGGACGATGATAAGGTGATGATGGTGGATGGGCAAGGCCTTCCGCTCCCCCTACCTGCCCTGGTCGTGAAGTCCTGCTCCCCTGCTCCTTGTCTCTGACTTGCGGATGCTCGCCAGATGAGCACAAGCCATCTTGCTTCAGCCGCGATAGCTCTCGCGTCGCAAACTTTCTAGCCCGACTCCCGTCTTTCCCATTCCCTGAACGGCCACTCGATCCTTTGCCCAGCGTGCTCATGTCTTTACGGTATCGTGCCGCGACCCCCATCCTGGCCCTCGGTTAAATGACCACGACCACACTGACGAACGCCAGATTGGGCTATCTGCCGGGTCTTTCAAGCGCTAACGTGAGGTACAGCGATAATCAGCGGCGGCATCAAGTGCCCGAGCGCATACGAGTATCTACTACCCACAAATAATGCACCTCTCATTACGTTGCTACAACTGGCTCTGGTCTGAAAGCAGCCATGGCTTGATGTCCACACAGAATCCAAAAGAGATATTACAGAAGCAACTTCTAAGACTAACCAGGTCTCGGACGGATTGTACAACGCATTGTTGTCTGACCCTGGCTTTCAAAAAGAACCCGTGAGTCGACTTAAACCCTGCACCCTGTTCCCGGGCGCTGATGGCATCATCTGTCAGCTTGTGGCTGGTCAGTACAACTTTTAGGGCCCCAGGTCACGACGAGTTTCAGGTTTAGCTCGCTCCATCTTCTGCGCGTCATGGCCCAACCTCACTGCCTGCCTGATGGGTCGACCTAGACGGGCCACCGGGCGCTGCTCGTTTCCTCGCACAGAGTAGCACTCCGCGATCTCCAAAGAAGTAATGGCATCAATACTGGACTCCTCCAGCCTCATCAATCTACTCACGAACATAGGAGAGACCGGTCGTTTGGTGAACCTCATCTCCGAGCCTCTGTTCACGCTCGATCCTTCCAAGCCGGATGTTACTCATCCTCGGCCCAAGCAAAAGAGTGGCCCCGGATACACCGGTAGGAATGCTACTAACTGGCTATCTTGATGACAAGTGGTATCCAGGGCATGTGCGGCGGCGGGTCTCTCGCTCATTACCGAGTATTTTTTTCTGGAAAGAGGTTCAGGACCGAAGTTACCAACCTCCTTCGACGGAGCATTTAGACAAGCCCCCAACAGGCTGAGCGTTGTGGAAAGTTTGCCCGGTCCAACGTCGTCACAACACGTGTGAAGTGCAAACTCAGCCCGACGAGTAGCAACAGAGAAAGCATCCTGAAGCAAGAGAGGCATCTTTGTGGCCTGGGTAAATATACTCGCCTCAGTGGCCGATGTTTACTGAGCCTTCCCGTCTATTGTTGGCAAGGGGATCTTCAGAGAGACAGCTTGCTTGCATGCGGGGATGCAGACGGGATGTTCCCGCTGTGCATGTGTATCCGCTATGAATTAAGGTCGCATTGCAGGTTGAATCTATCTGGATCCAAGATGCCAACCAGAGGCATGCAAATGCAAGATCACGGCCTTCCTAAGGCCACGATGCATGGACAATGCACCACCTCCTGTCAAATATGCCTTCCCTTTCAGAAAGCTTGAACTGCATGCCAGGACAGGCTTCTACAGTAGTAGATCTGCCGAAATGTCCTGATAGTCCACATCGGCGGCCGGCCTTCACCCGATGACAGGACCATTGTGTGCAAGGAGAGAGGCAGGGGGGTTGCTTGGGGCCAAGGTCTCAAGGAATTGTGGCACATGCGCCCCTTGAGTCTTTTCAGCCTCTCGGTGGGAATGGTGCAGGTAGGGTGGTAGGGTATGACCACCCCCCGGCCAAAATTATCGCCTGGGTCCCAAAGCCCAATAAGGACACGGCTCTTGTACGATCCACCAGATACCGAGTACAGGAAGACACATCAAAAAGGTCTTTCGACCAACTCCCCACCTCTTTTCCATCGGATGGCTAAAGACAGAAGGAAATACAAGTAGCAACATGGGAAGGGGAAGTCCGTTTCAAAGCGATTGGCATGGTCGACGAGTTCACAATTCTTCGCACAAATCGCTGGCCGGCTTGCCGCCCTCATCCCAACAAGTCTGATGTGTTGTCAACCCATGATTTGCAGAAGCAAGTCCCGGCAGCCCACTCTCTCACTGGCTTGGACCAGCTTCGGTTGAGGCAGCCCAATCACTGCCGTGCAAGGCCCGGGTCAGCGTCGCGAGGATCGCTCGATCAGCAATGATTACTCCGTTGAGCACGTATCCTAGAAGTTCTCTGAACGGGGTGCCTTATCCCTAAGTTCTTGTCCAGCCAAAGGGTTCTCTGGCTTCTGTCCCCTAGTGGAGTCCATATCACGAGAGAAAAGGTCTCTTCTTTGTTGAGAGCTGCTTCGGGAAGCATTGGGCTTGAGAGGAGGCTGGGCCCTAGGGAGAACCTTGATGTGTGGGCCGGCCTGTGTTGCCGGACATGCTCGTCCTTAGAGGGGCCCTCCATGCAAGAGATGGACAGGTTGATGCGTCTGCGATATTCAGCCTTCTCTTCCTGTTTCCGCTGTTGCATTGGCATTGCACTGCATCCCCTGTTTACTGCAAGCTTGCGATCTTGCATCGATCGCCTGTGCAGGACGCACTGCGTCTGAGAAAGTCTATGCCGATCCATCACCGTCGCAAGAGGGTCGAGCCCGGCTTAGCAACACCAACTCCCTCTCGCTTAGGCGGAGAACAAGAACGCAAACCGGGCGAGGAACAGCAGCCCGTTCTGGAAAGGGCAAAGACGAGCTCTCCCAAGGCGGAGGGGGAACCTTGGGGTTAGAGAGACCCCTCTTGTTTCGGATTCACGAAGATGGCCACTGTCGGCTGGCTGTGATTGGGTCGACTACTGCCGGGAAAATCTACGGAAAGACATTGCCCCCTTACCATGCACATCACAGTTGCATGAAGATCATTGCGAAGGCTTTGCGGCCCAATACCTCAGAGGTTCGATGCGCCTGCGGTAAGGAGGCGATCCGACGTTGCTCCATCCACATCTTGGAACAGCCAAAGGCAGGAATGTCTTGCATTATTGTCAGATCAAGCTCACCGGTCTCACCTCTGATGCCCCCTGGGCCCTGGCATGCCACGATCAGGGATACATGATGTCTGGTCAGCTCTGTTATACGAGATGTGGGCTTAGCTCTCGTCTCTCCCCTGGCCCCGCGATCCGTCCGTGGAAGGATTTTCAATCAGCCTCGACACTTTGTACCATCCAGCCCAATGCTCTATCTGCCTGTCCAAGACTTGGAGTCAATCTTCGTTCCATTGTCGCAACAAATGTCCCTTTCGAATCAGATCCTTCCGATTGAGGGCAATCAATATCGCAGGGTCTAGGAGCCCAAATGGTTGAGAGAAGGTCCGCTCGGCAGGATGGCGGATTGTTTGCTACCAGCGCCACACTCAGGCTGCCAGTCGACGGTAAGGAGTAGGGTCACTCCTACTGGTCCCCTGTTCATATGTCTGAAATGACTACCATTCCTCGTCAAGATCAACACCGTCCGTCACCTCCCCTGAGCGTATCGAAGGGGTCTCAGGAACGAATGATGGGATCACCGCCATCGTGGTGACAAAGACAGGAGGTCGCGAAGGTTAGGGCTGTGGTGACGATGACGATGGCAACTGTGCCATGACTATTGGCTTTCAGCCATCCAGGAGGAACTCAATTTCTATGTCGACGGACTTGTTTCTCCCTTCGCAAGTCTGAATTGATCGTCCCCTACATTGGCCGCCTTGCAGTCTACCCGAACACCCTTTGCTGGAGGGCCAGTCCGGGCCAGTCCTGAGTGATATCACAGTACATGGCCGATGGATTTCTTTTCCGAGAGTGTTGTTGCAGAAGAGGTTGTTTTGCGTTTCCGTGTCTGCGAGGTAGGTTCCCGTGCACTTCTCACTCAGTCCTATACCTGGTTGGTTCTCCCCAGGCAAACCGACCCTGCGGTATCGCTAAAGGTTGCGAAAGATGCCACCATGTCAATGGTCCGCAAGAGCGCTTTTCGACAAAGTACCGTTCGCCTTCATGTCGTCGAGGATGAGCTGCTGGCATTGATGGGGGTTTCAGACACAACCCGTTCGTGGAGGATTGCTGTCGAGTTTCTAGTCGGGGTCTCCGTAAACTATGGATGTGGCGTTGTCGAAATTGCCCCAGCGCTTTACTCAACAGCCGACGCATGCACTCGCGCAGGTGCGAATTCCTCGCGCAATTTGCGTCTCGAATTTCCGTATGGGAGGACAATAAGTGACTTGGACCCATGTATTCCTGGTCGGGAGAAAGCCATTGTGTCAAATATGCAATATCCCCAAATATGTCCATCCTACACTCTGGCCAATTTCATGGCCGGCCGACAAGAGACCTCTTCTCAGATGCTTCATGGCGTGCCCTCGAACCTTTTTGTGTCTTGACATGACCACCCTCCTCCAATTCCCAGGAAGATTGCTTCGTGCCAAGGGGATGACCTATGATACCTCGCGTTTTGCCTCCGACGATATTCCCATCCTCTTTGTTGGTATCAAGAATAATTTTTCAACTCCACGAGAACGCCGTGCCATCCGTTCCATGCCATGTCCTGCAGGGAAAAGAGCAAGACTCGCTCCCCCTTTTGCGCTCGTTATGAGAGATCAATCGTCTCCGTAGTCAACGTCCTCGTCTTCATCGGCACCTCCCTCAGCACCACCGATGTCGGCACCGGCCTTGCCGGATGCTGCATAGCTGCTGAATTTCGCATCGTCTTCGGCTTCCCTCGATGCCGCATCCTTTGCCACGTCCTCGCATGCGTCGATCCAGTCCGAGTACACGTCGACGGCGGCGCTCAGGTAATTGATGCCGGTTTGGAACCTCTGCCCGCAGACCTTGCAGTGCAGGTTGCCCACGCCGGCCTTCTTGTCGAGTTTGACTTGGATGGCTTTTTCGTGGTTGCAGAAGAGGCAGGTGAAGGTCGAGGCGAGGGGTTCGCGCTACAGAGACGGAAACGAAGTGACGTTAGCATGAGAGAAACAAGCGCGGCAATGCAGGATGTGAGTGATGGGCAGCGAATTGCCCGGATTTTGAATCGTGGAGATGAAGAAATGAAGATTGGACTGACTTTCTTGGGCCCTTGCGGCTTGCTGGACGACTTCTTTCGTTTCCCCTGTGATGGCGGTGTCAGTTATTTCTTTCGGGGTGTCTCCCTGGAAATTCATGGGCGCTTACCATTGGTTTATCTAAAATAACGAGGTACCTCAAGATTTTAGTGTGGCGGAGGGGTTGATGAACGAGGGTAGCCTCGAGAAAGTAGAGGAGAAAGGACTCGGTGACATTAAAATAGGGCGATGTCGCGGACCTCGTCTCCAAAGTTGACTCAGCCTCGTCTTCACTCAACCTCCGCAGTTCACCCTGCGATTCTTGTCACAGCCCAGTCACGTGAAGTCCCAGAAGTCTTATCGTTATCGCGCGGCAGCCTCCGACTGTCAGATCAACCAATCACAGCCACTGCGGGACATCGAGTTCCAGAGGCGCATTTCCCCCTCGTCCCTCTCTCTCCCCCACTGCAACCAACCATTGCTTCAACGTTGCAGTCTGATGGGAGAGATTACTTCTTCACTTTCCTATCTATCTTTTTATCCTCATTGCCTATATACATCTTTAGACCGTGCTTGAGTCCTTGGGGCTTCTGTTGGTTTGTGTGAGAGCAAGTGGTCGTCCTGGTATTTCCGGGCCATCCCTTGTCAGCATTGTCCATTCTGTTGTCCATCTGTTGTTAGGATCTCTTCCGGTGTCAAAGAAAGAGAAAAAAGCAAAGCAAAGTTGTTGACGCCTGATTGTTTGGGAACTGCTTCAGAACCTTTGGACGAACTTCTTGCCTCCCCACGTCGATATCCTTCTGTCGAGCAGATATTGTTTGTTTTCCCGGGCATTTACACACAAGATGGCGAATTCTCAGCCCATGAATGGGGCCACTCCCGACCCCATCCTCTCAGAGATCCTCGCGACCCTCAAGAGCCTAGATGCCAATATGGAGTCCCTCCAGAGTAGATTCGAGACCGCTCAGTCGGTCAACCAACTACGCGGCGTTCCTCAGTCTCGGACGAACCTCTCTCCCAGCTTGGATCCCATCCAGTTGGGCAAATCCGCAAGCGGCGCCTCTTCTCCTCCGACGGACTCCAGCCTGGCTCCTAAGGCGCCTTCATCACCTACGAGCTCTGCGAGGAAATCATCCGTCACCTCGCGAATCATCCTTACTACCTACCCAGGCCAATCGGGAATCGACCCCATTCCTCTCGAATGGGGAGAACCGAATCCCATCAAACGTGGTCCTGTCGTGGTTAGTCGCCACCACAACACCATCCGTCGCCGCAACGCCATCGGTGCCCACGGCGGGTCCTATAGCATATACCACGCCCTTGCCGTAGCGAGCAACAATCTGGACCTAGAGCACAAACCGGACTTTACCAACACCGAACCGGCCGCGAACATCGGACCGTTTCCAGCGTGGGGCGACAGGAAGAAGATTGTCGCCATGGACCCTTTTGGTCATCTGGCGCCCTGGCTATACAAAGACCTCATGCAGTCCCAGGACATCGACATCCGCCCCACCATTGCCGTGACTAAGGCGCACATGAAGATCCCGGAGTTCGAACAATCCGTCAGGGCCGGCCGCCTGAAACCGGATGGGCGGATCTGCCTCAACGAGACTGGAGAATTGAACGTGACCAAATTCGCGGTCGAGCCCGTCTGGTATCTCCCCGGGGTGGCGGAGCGGTTTGGGATCCAGGAAAGCGCACTGCGACGGGCGCTCTTCGAACACACGGGCGGTTCCTATCCCGAGCTGGTGACGCGGAACGACATCAAGGTGTTCCTGCCCCCGATCGGCGGGCTCACGGTGTACTGCTTCGGCGACCCGGCCAAGATGGCAGATCCCAACGTGCGGCTGGCGCTGCGGGTCCACGACGAGTGCAATGGCAGCGACGTGTTCGGGTCCGACATCTGCACGTGCCGGCCGTACCTGATCTTCGGGATCGAGGAGGCCGTCAAGGAGGCCCAGAAGGGCGGCTCGGGCGTCGTCATCTACTTCCGCAAGGAGGGCCGCGCCCTGGGCGAGGTCACAAAGTACCTGGTCTACAACGCTCGCAAGCGCGGCGCCGACCGGGCCAGCGAGTACTTCAAGCGCACCGAGAACATCGCGGGCGTCAAGGACATGCGCTTCCAGGCCCTCATGCCCGACATCCTGCACTGGCTAGGCATCACAAAGATCGACCGCATGCTGTCCATGTCCAACATGAAGCACGACGCCATTGTCGAGCAGGGCATCCCCATCCTCGAGCGCGTTCCCATCCCCGACGACATGATCCCCGAGGACTCGCGCGTCGAGATCGACGCAAAGATCCACGCCGGCTACTTCACCACCGGCAAGGTCATGTCCATCGACGAGCTCAACGCCGTCCAGGGGAGGAGCTGGGATGATATCGAGCATTAGCCCCTGTCTGTCTGCGCTGTCGGCAAAGTTTTGAGTGCTAGATAAGTTCGAGTTGGACTACAGACCCAAGTTATTGCCGAGATTGGAAAGTTACAAAAGAGGCGGCGAGATTGCAGACACATAGGAACGGATTGTAGTCAAGCCGACGCTGCTAACCAAGAGACAAACTTCCCAAGATCCCTGGTTTTTGTATGAATGATTGTTTTCTTTTTTTTTGGATTGATTGTTCTGTTCTAGTTCTGTTCTCTCCGATGTTTGGTCATGGAATGTGCACTGACTCGATGCTCTAGCTCCAACCCGTGGGAAGGAGAACAAGAGCAGAGTCGCACAATCCAGGCCTGTATCCACACACAATGATTGAGGTCCGATTCAGTCGATGCCAGTAGTCCGCAGGAACATCGAAGTTGCCGGTTTCAACATATCCGTGCCCACCGCGCACCACATTGCACCACATCCTCTGCTCCTCATCTCCAGCATCGACTCTTCCTTCACCATGTCCCTCAGAAAGCGTGTTTGACCACCCACTCCGATTCAGACTCGCTGTTCATCTGCACAGCACCGTTGATAGCAGAGTTTGATTCAATCCATCCCCATCGCGTATGATCGTGTTTTGTTGTTTTCCTCTTGTTTCACTCTTGATGTTGTGCCGGGTCCAAAAACTTGAACTTTCCGAACCCCTTCCTGTTGGCAAGACTCTCCTGTTTCCTCTTGTGTCTTTTTTTCAGTCATGTGCCACCCTGGACATACTAGAAGTATTCAATACGCGTAGGACGGACTGGACCAATGGTATGATGTGACATCCTGGCTGGTGACATCCTGGCTCTTGATCAGTTACCAGTCAGACACGTAATGCAACAGTACGGGAAATGATGGGATGAACCCCTCATACACCATCTTCACCCTATGTTTACAGTCCATCGGGTCGACACCATCTCCATTCTCATCGGTCACACGCATGACCTGCTTCATCTTTTCCTTGAGATCAGCAAAGCACTTGTTGGTCAGCCCTCTGTAGCGATAGATGGTGACAAAGTTGTAGCACTTGATCTCGGTAAGGGCTTTCAGGAAGTGAAAGTCGTTGGAGGAAACGCAGGCGCGGCCAGCGAACTGGATTGCGAGCGTCTTCAAGGTGACATTGCGTCCAATAAGACGAAAGATCTGTTGCAGGTGAGGGTCATGCACAAACTTGCGTTCCGGAATCTGGGTGGAAGTTCTGGTACGATTGTCCGCTCCATCGGTGAGCACAAATGAGACGTATTTGAAGTGAGAGATCTGTACGAGGGTGTTAGTTCCCACCATTAACTGGGGACGAGGCATTCACTTCTGCAGCACTTACGTTGACAGGTCCAATGTCTTCAAGGAATCGTCTGACATCTTTGTAACCGACCTCTTTCCAGGCCTTCTCGTAGTATCGACCGCGAATAGCAATCTCTCGGGAGAAGTGGAACGAGTTCTCACCATAGAGGACCTCTCTGCCTTCTCGGAGAACAGTTTTGCAAGTGCGGAGAAAGTGAGAAGAGTGTGAGAAATCGCGGCGATCGAACTCGATGGCTTTGTCGTCACGGAATAGCAATCGGTATGTCTTCAAGCGAAGCTCCATGGGCAGGTCAAGGAAGCCGGGTTTCTTCTTCTGAACCGTTGCGGTGACCGTGGGAAACTCAGGGGTGACCTCGGAAGACTCAGTGGTGACATCAGCAGGTTTGGCTTGTGGTGCGGCAGACAAAGTCCAGGAAGTAGCACCCAAATTCTTCAAGAGATCAGCCAGGTTGAGGTTGATAACTGTCTTGACGCCACCTTCACCGACAACCTCAACGCTCCTAGACAGATGTTTGTCAGCTAGGTACCAAAAAAGTGTTCGGAAGGTGAAGCAAAGCCGTCATCAACAGACGTTCTACAAGGGAGACTGGACTTACAGAGCCTTTGAGAGTTTGTTCTCCTCCTCATCGGTCTTGTTCGCACCAGCTCGACGTTCGACAGCCCAGAGACCACCGTCCTCTTCCTCCTCAGATGCATTGTCGTTCGTGGCAAATTCGTCATCTGAGAGATCCTGGAGAGCATGGCGGGGCGGAGGACGAGGACGAGTGAATCGTCGCCTGGATTTGCCATTACGATCACCATCGCTCTTTCTCTTGCGTTTCTTCTTATCAGCCTCATAATCAGAATGGTCGGAGTCATGATCAGAGGATGGAACATCGATAAGAGGATCGAAGACACGTTCAAACGGGTCGTCGTCCTTGTATTTGCGGTTCGCGACACCTCCGGCCGGCATATCAGCTTCAACAGTCACGACGTTCATGGTTTGGGTGTTGTTGTTGGTAGCTTGAGCTTTCTTGCGGGTAGTAGGAGCCATGGTCACGGGGTGGTGAATGAATCTGTTCAAATCTGAGCAATCAAGCCGTTCGCTGGAAAGAAGATATCTGTCTTACGAGAGCACGATATCTGAGACGTCTGCAGAGACGACAAGGAGGTTTGACTGTTTGTGAACGAACGGATCGAAGGGGAGACAAAAGAAGCTTTGTGAGGAAAGATGGAGATGAAGATGGAAAAGGACAAGGAAGAACGAGGAGTGTTTTCAGAAAGATCAAATTCACGCAACGCGTCTGTGGAAAAGCAGCGTCTCAACCACCTCCCGCTTGGCAGGCAGCTGTATAGCAGCGAGCAGCAAGCAAGAGGCAGGAGGGACGAGGAAGGAGGGAGTTGACAATGTGATTCCCAGGAAGGAAGGACCGCCAATGCTCTGTTAAAGCAGCGAGAGCAGGGGCGGCAGCGAGGTGTGAAGCATTCACGCAAAGACGGCTCAGTCACCCAGTACCACCAGTGACGGACTGTTGAACGGCGCAAGAACCGCCTCATGGCAATCACAAGGAACAGTTCTTCTTGCAGGTTTGCCGAACGCCATCCTTGAGATGCAAGACAGTGAAAGAAGTCACGTGGGGAAAGTAAGAACTGATCAGCATCATTCATTGTATCGCCAGTTGACAGAAGACGTCGAGATGGTATTAATGAAGAAAAGCATTAACACTCAGCTTGTGAAGGCAGATATCCTCAATGCCCGCTGCAGCACACCCAGATTCTATTCCACATCTCTTCCATGTCTCTCCTCACCGCTCACAGACTGCCTCTTCCTCGTCCACATATCCATCAGCAGCAAACCTGTGCTTTCACATATCGCAGTTTGAGTTGCTCCAGTCCAGCTCATCACAGGACACAGCAAGCAGATTGAATACATTCACAGGCGCACACAAAAGCAGGGAGACAAGGCAGATGACCTGAAGTCAGGTCAGCCCTGATCAAACAACATGTCCAATCAGTCTTTGTTTCAAATTGTCCTTCAAGGTGGTGCTTGGACCCAGGACATATCAGCATCGCCCACAGACCTCTGGCTCAATAGCCAGAGCGCGGGAGCTGCAACTGACGTACAGATGCTCTTCATCTTGGATTTAGTTGTGGAGGAGAAAGAAAAAACAAGAAGAGAAAATGACAAAGTCGGGAATTTAGTCTTGGCCTCGCTTGACCTTCCGGCAAGGGAAGTTCGGACATTCGGCAAAACCTCCGCATTGGTTGGACTTCATTCCTTGATGGTTGCGCCACTTCGATGGAACGACCAATCTATATATCATCACCCAGAGCACCCCCTCCTCTTTACATCTGAGGTGCAGCCTCTATCAGGGATTCAAATCGAGGGTAGTTGTCATCTTTCAAGAGCTGGCACTAGCCAGTACAGAGGACATCTGAATCTGTCGTCGATTCTGACTCCCTGTGAGGCTTGATCGAGATATATTCTGTGACTCCGCATTTTAGTTTTTTCCGCCATTGTCGCTTGGCAGTGCCATTACTACCTTGCCTGTATAAACATGGCCCGTTCAATACTTGCAAAGAGGCTTTGGTCCTCACAGTCCTTGGCCTTCAAACCATCGATATGTCTCTCATGCAGGGTAACTATCAGAGGGCTGTCGTCTTCTCGAACACAGGGTTCGGCCCAGACTGAGGCCCAAAACAAGGTAGCATCTCCAAAGCGAATGCAAGACACTCAACATACTGACACAGCCCGCAGTTACTGGGTGAGCATCTCAAACAAGCAGATCCCGAGATCTATGAGATCTTGCAGCACGTAAGAAACCCCGATACCAACTTCTACCTCCTGGCTCTAACCCGTCTTTTTTGTCTGTTGTAGGAGATACGTCGGCAGAGACATTTTATCAATCTCATCCCTTCCGAAAACTTCACCTCTCAGGCTGTGCTGGATGCCTTGGGCAGTGTCATGCAGAGTGAGTCACCGTGGCACCGCATCCAATCCGTGAACAACCGATTTACTGACCCTCGAATCAGACAAGTACTCAGAGGGATACCCGGGCGCACGGTACTACGGAGGCAACGAACATATCGACGAGTCCGAGAGACTATGTCAGAAGCGCGCTCTGGAGACATATCGCCTGAATCCAGAAGAATGGGGGGTCAATGTCCAACGTAAGAGGCCACATGTTATTGAACTCCAGTGATATCTCAAGCTGACCGACTCAGCCTTGTCTGGTTCTCCCGCTAACCTCTACGCCTACTCCGCCCTCCTCAACACACACGACCGTATCATGGGTCTCGATCTCCCCCATGGAGGCCATCTGTCCCACGGTTACCAAACTCCCACCAAGAAGATATCCATGATCTCCAAGTACTTCGAGACCTTCCCATATCGCCTGGACGAGTCAACGGGATTGATTGACTACGACAAGATGCTCGAGTATGCTCTTCTGTACCGACCCAAAATCATCATCGCCGGAACCTCTGCGTACAGCCGGTTGATTGACTACAACCGCATGCGCGAGATTGCCGACGAAGTGGGTGCTTACCTGTTGTCCGACATGGCTCACATATCCGGCCTGGTCGCCGCGGATGTGATTCCAAGCCCCTTCCAATACTCGGACGTGGTGACAACCACAACGCACAAATCGCTTCGTGGTCCTCGAGGTGCCATGATCTTCTACCGCAAGGGCGTGCGCCGAACAACCAAGAAGGGCGAGAAGGAGCTGTACGACCTGGAAGGTCCCATCAACGCGTCCGTCTTTCCCGGCCACCAAGGCGGTCCGCATAACCACACCATCACCGCCCTCGCCGTTGCCCTCAAGCAGGCTCAAACGAAAGAATTCAAGGAGTACCAGAAGACCGTGCTGTCGAATGCCAAGGCCCTTGCAGAACGACTCGGCAATTCCGCCTACACAGGTGGTCTGGGCTACAACATCGTCAGTGGCGGGACCGACAACCACTTAGTCCTGGTCGATCTGAAATCCAAGGGCATCGACGGTGCTCGCGTAGAGCGCGTGCTCGAGCTGTGCGGCGTGGCCGCGAACAAGAACACGGTTCCCGGGGACAAGTCTGCCCTGAGGCCTGGGGGTCTAAGAATGGGCTCGCCTGCAATGACCACACGGGGTTTCCAGCCAAGCGACTTCACGCGCGTGGCGGAGATAGTTGATCGTGCAGTGTCCATTTCTATCAAGGTGGATAAGAGCGCCCGATCGGATGCAGAAGCGAAGGGCAAGAAGAATCCCGGAGCAGTCAAGAGTTTCTTGGATTATCTCAAGGACGGGACGGAAGTCGCCGAGATTCTTACGCTGAGGAAGGAAGTGGAAGATTGGGTTGGTACATTTGCAGAGCCGTGGGTGAAGGGATAAGGACGCGACGACTAATTGAGTGGGAAACTCTGCAGACCACGACACTTCGCACGATGGTGACGTCGACAAAGTGACTGTCTCCAGAACAACCGCGCTGCTCAGCTGCTGTGTTGTCGAGAAAGGTGGTCAGGCTTTTTAAACGCGAGGGAAAATGGGCAATAAAAACATGTATTTAAAAGGATGGGTTGAGTGGATGCCTTTTCAGCGCATCTATATACTCCGATCTCAATAATGGCGATCTTCTGCGTCTAACAGTGAATGGACGAGTAGGAGATAGTGTAATTCGCAACCTGGTGAAAGTCAATCGATGTCAACAAGACATTATGGTTCAACTGCCGCGGAAATTGCCAATACAAGGACGAGGATCGACTTGAACGAACTCTGCACATGATTGTCAATGATTTTCGATGATAAAGTGTCGCGAAGTAATTGTGATGAGGTACTCGTAGAGAGCCTTCAATAAGTTGTCTGATCAGAAAAAATCCAGGGAGGTTGTCAGGGGGCAACTCGGCCATTATTCATCAGGAGAAAGCCATAGTCACGTGTCAGGGGTTCAGTCTCGCCCTGTCGTTTCGAGAAAGACCGGACTTGGTGGGAAATGTTTCACCGATCGCCCAAGTTGTTAGTAGGCGCTTCTTTTCATCTCGCATCCCTGGTATGTCTCAGAATCAGAATATCCACCATTGACCATGATACTCGCCGTTTTCACTGGCTGAGGCCAAGCGACAGGGAGGCGGACGAGTGCTGCGTGCCTGTTTGATCGTCGGTGTCGTGGCGATTCACCATGGGGACTCAAGGATGGGTTTTCAGCAGTGCTGTGCTTGTGTGTATATCCGTACAATGAGACGATCACTTCTGTCTCGACGCTGCTCTTGACATAAGCCTTTCAGCTCTCCGAACACGACCGAAGTCCTCTTTGGTATGTTTGTTGTGGGCATGTGGCTGTGGTGGGGATGAAAAAGATCACGGTTGGTGGCCAGAAATGGAATGGGCTCCGTGGAGCTGCTTGCTCCATCACGTTGAGCGGCTGTTACTTAGCTGCTCCGTACATTGGAACCAAGGCGTCGGGGTTGCTGGAAAGAGTAATCGTGTTTCTGAGGACTCATAACTTAAGTCGAGGTATGTACTTGTACGTAGCTCCGGCTCCACCATTGCACAAATGCATGATCGCGTGCTATTTGCAGGGACCTCGTGGGTTATATTAACATGGGCTCAAATAGGCATGCTATTGAAATTGTGTCTTTATCGATATCACGGCGTTCTCCAATGGGTCAGCATGAATATCTCAATTGCGGAGTCGTTGTCAGAAAGTTCTCACGAAGACGAGTATATGGACAGAGCCGGAGGCTCTAGATGACGGGATCTGAGGGATTCGAGATCTGATCCTTCAGCTGCACAGTAACCCTAACTGCAAGTCATGCTTCTCAGACCCAGATTCGCAGGACCAGGCGAAGCCCAGGGTGGCAATCGCCGGGGGTTTGTATTGTACTCGTACGATAATCATTCGTTGTGTGCATGTGCGTTTTCTGCATTCCAATCAAAATGTGATGCAACGGTGTAGACACTCGAGAAAGACTTGACATGGGTGACGAAGGGGGAAAAACGGTGAATTGGGTTGAGGATGAAGCACTGGAAGCGAAAGTCGATGAAGCCAGCGCAGGGAGGCGGCAACGGCCGAGCTGTCTGATTGGCTGCACCCCTGACCCAATCTTGGCTCTTCATTTCCGAAACTGCACCAGATCAGCGCCAACAGAGCCACTTCCAACTCTGCGCCCTACTCCTCAACTGGGGTGACTTTCACAGTGCGTCAAAAACCTCCGAGCACATCATTTCAAGCTCAATTTCATATTTGTTTACCTCGTACTACTGGCTCTGCTACGCTCCTCTGGGGTGCGGGTGGCAAGCAGGATGTCACGGACGTTGCAACCGCGGACGGTGAACTAAACCAGGCACTAAGCGAACCAGCAATCAAAGAGTTCACGGAATGCGGCGGCTCGGATCTACCTCCTGCGCTACTCGAACGAATAGACCTCGATGTTATGGCCCAGTTGGGCTGCTGGATCAACGATGCGATCTCAGGTGTAAACAATATTGACAAGGACTGGAATCGACACTCACACACCGCGGACCACCGTAGGTGAAAGTATCTCGGTTGGGACAGAGGCGAGAAATTACGCGAAACCAGCTGCTTTCCGAGTTGGTTTCCCAATGAACCCTGGCTGGTAAACAGGCACACAAGAGACAACAGAGGCGAATTAGTCGTGTGATGATGTCGGTCACTGGACCAGTCGGATCTACCAGTACCCAATTCCCAATTACAATCTCTACAAATCGAAGTCAGACGTGTCACCAGCCCTCATGTCCTGTCAGTGTCAGAATGGGATTTGTTGTCGGACAAACAACATCGAGAAGGAACAATATGGTAGGGGCCAGGGAATACTCGTACGTACGACTGTGTGCCTCTACCCAACAGGCAAACTTGTTATGGTGGGTGCCCGCCCACGAGACAATGTCCAAGCTGAGTGGAGGAGGTTGCCACTTTTCGCCGCCACAATCTCGGCTGAAGTTGGATTGGAGCCAATGGCGCAGACAAAAGTCTTGATGAGGCTGATCTAAAAACGCCATGTGGACTCCGCTATACAACCACCACCGAGCCAAAACAGACAAGACCAAACAGACCCGCCGCTACCCCTGATGTCCGCGAGCATGCTATCTTCCACCCACCCTCAATCCACTCCGTCGTCGTCGTCCACTCAGTTACCACCGGGGTCAACATCAACGCTAAAATGATACCTTAATTTCCCTTTTGTTAGGTGTCATGGGCCTCCCGCGCCCATATATGAAAGAACCTTCTTCGCACTCACAACTTCTTTTTCCTTCCTCCATCCTACGATCAAAACTCCAACTTACAGTCGCTCGTTCAGCAGCTCGAAAGCCGGTCTTTGTGCCACCCACACTCGTTTCCAACGAACCCCCCAAATTCCAACCCCCCAAATTTCAATACCTAGTTTTCTAATCCAGAAACTACCACTCCGTCAAAATGAAGGTCACCGCATCCATCATTGCTGTTGCAGCTCTCGCTTCCAGCGCCTCTGCTGGTGTTGCCAGCTCCTGGGCCGACTGGTCGAGCACAACCACCACGACCACGACCACTACCACCACGGTCCCTGTCGCTGCCGAAACCACCCACACGTGGGCTGACTGGACTTCCACCACCACCACAACCACCACCACGACCAAGGTTCCCGTTGCGCCTGAGAGCACCCACACCTGGGGCGACTGGACCACCAGCTCTGCTCCTGTTTCCTATACCACGACCGTTGTAGGTGCCATCACGACCTACTGCCCATATGCTACCAAATTCACGCACGCTGGCAAGACCTACGAAGTCACATCTGCCACGACCCTTACTATCACTGACTGCCCGTGCACCATTTCTGTTCCTGTCTACACCACGACCTCCACCTCCTGCAGGTAAAGATTGAAACCTAAGCTGACTTTTCAAATTTCCAGGCTGATACAAGCAGTTCCGTCGCCGCCGAGTCCACCGGCACCTGGGGTGACTGGTCCTCGGTCCCGGTTGAGGTCAGCACCTCGACCCCCGTTGCCCCGGCCAGCACCACCAGCGCCGCTTGGTCCAGCTATGCGCCATCCAGCGTCGCCCCCGCTGTTGCCACCTACACTGGTGCTGCCAACGCCCTCGTTGCCAACGTTGGCGCTGGTCTTGCTGGTGTTGGCGCCATTGCCGCTTTCCTCCTGTAAGCGGGGAAAGCATCTCGGGTCTTGACTCGCGATCGTTGACGGGCTTCCTACGCGTTCGACTCGGAAGAAGCCAGTCAGTTCTGCAGTCATGACTTTGCGTTTTAACTTCTTAGCGCTGAGACTCAGGCAAGGAACAGCGGCTAGCCTGCTCGACTGCAGCGTATGCGCGTCACGGCATGAACATTGAGCGGTCACGACAAGTTTGGGCAAATGCGTGTATACCAGCAGCGGGCGCCTGGGACATAGAGTTTTGTTGGCTAGTCGTTGGAGTGGTGTGATGGACAACTTGTACAGTTAGAAGGTACAATGAGATATCGCACCCCTCACCCTGGGTGCTGGTCATTTAATGAATGGAAGTTTTCTGGATAGCGTGTTTCTTGTTTTGGGCCTTGTTGATTTACAGAGCAGCAGGACGATCCCTGCATGGTGTACTCTTCGTGCAGTTAGCCAGCAATACAAACAAGGAAAAGTTACCAACAGAACACGTGGAAACAAACGGACAAGTCTATTGATGCTCTTAGCGTGTCCAAATGCCGAAGTCGCTTGGGGGGACGATATAGGAAGCCGATACTCGGTGCTTGTACCTCGTAGAGATGTGAGACAGCACCAGACAGCTCTCCCTCCTTGAGCGTCTCTCGGGTTTGTCTCGGGGGCTGATCAATTGCCTTTCCACCATTTGACTCCCAACCACTTCCATTTGACCATCCTGGGCGGTCTGCAATTCCGCGAGCCTCTTGGTCCCTGTAGCGCGTCTCTCCAGCATGCAACCCACCCCCCGCAAAGTCGGCGACGATCGAATGATGTCTGTTCCCCCAACCCAAGTCCGACTCCGCTGGACCGATCCCCTTCGCCCCGTCGTTCCAAGCGACCAGAATTCTTTCTGATGGAATGCTTCCGGAGCTGGCTCGGTCATTTCCATCTTGTGCTGCAGAAGAGCTACAGTTGATACCAGCCCGTTGAGAGCAAAACCTCAACTGGATCGCGGTGAGAATACCAGGCAAACCCGAGCCTCGCTTGGTGCTTTCGATCAGTCGTCCATGCTTTGTCCATAGACAGACTTATATGTTTCTACGGCCTCGCGCTCTGTCTTGATCATTCTCTAGCCTCGAGGCTCCTTGCCGTCCGAATCCCAACCCTGCTCTGTCCTGCGTCTGACCTGTACAACATCTGCGCCTTCTCATTGTAATCATTGCCAACTTGGAGAGAGTGAAGTGTTCTACACTTCGTCCTGCACATCATGTCCCCAAATAACACGGTCCAAGATGCGGTACAGAATGCTTCATTATCCGACCCAGAAGGGTTCTGGGACAGGCATGCTAAAGAGTTACACTGGCATAAACCATACAGCGCGGTCCTGCGCAGGCAACCCAAGAACCTGAAGGAGGGAATCACGCATCCACACTGGTCATGGTTCCCTGACGGAGAGATCAGCACCACGTACAATTGCATAGACCGCCATGTCAAGGCTGGCAATGGCGACAAGATTGCCATGATCTGGGACAGTCCCGTGAGTGGGTCGAAAGAGAAGTACACATACAGTCAGATGTTGGACGAGGTGGAGATTCTCGCAGGTGTTCTCCGAGAAGAAGGGGTCAAGAAGGGAGATGTCGTGCTGGTCTACATGCCGATGATACCAGCCGCCATCTTTGGCATGCTCGCCGCCGTTCGCCTGGGTGCCATGCATGCAGTCGTCTTTGGAGGGTTTGCCGCTACCAGTCTGGCGCAGAGGATCGAAGCTGCCCAACCCAAGGTCATTTTGACAGCCAGCTGTGCCATCGAAGGGACCAAGGGCCCTCTGGAATACAGGCCATTCGTCGAAAGCGCGATTGAGCAAAGCAGTTGGAAGCCGAGCAAAACCATCATCTGGCAGCGAGACATCAGGAGATGGGATCCTGTGAGAAAAGATGAGGGGCAGAGAAACTGGCAACGTCTCGTCAAGAGTGCCCGAAATAGAGGCATCAGAGCCGAGGCGGTCCCCGTCAAGAGCACAGACGGATTGTACATTATTTATACCAGTGGCACCACCGGTTTGCCCAAGGGCGTTCTCCGCGAAGCAGGCGGACATGCAGTGGGCCTCAATCTCAGCATCAAATACCTCTTCGACGTCAAGGGCCCTGGCGACGTCATCTTCACCGGCAGTGATATCGGGTGGGTGGTGGGACATTCGTACATTGTCTATGCACCTCTCCTGGCGGGGGCAACCACCGTTCTCTACGAAGGCAAGCCCATTGGGACGCCCGATGCAGGCGCATTTTGGCGCATGATTGACGAGCACAAGGTTACAGCACTGTTCACAGCTCCGACTGCACTCAGGGCTATCCGGAAAGAGGATCCTGAAGACAAATTCTTCAAAGAACTTGGCGAGAAGGGCCGGCTGAGGCACTGGCGGGCACTGTTCCTTGCCGGAGAGAGATCCGAACCGGCCATCATCACACATTATCAAGAGTTGCTAAGCAGATACGCTGCTCCAGACGCGAGGGTGATTGATCACTGGTGGTCCAGCGAAAGCGGCAGTCCCATGACCGGCTTGGCCTTGCGCCCGGCCATTGGATTTGATCATCACAGTCGCGAAGAGCACAAGGCATTGGCCATCAAGCCCGGCAGTGCCGGTAAGCCGATGCCCGGATTCGACGTGCGCATAGTCGACGACGAGGGAAATGAAGTCGAACAAGGCAAGATGGGAAATATTGTGCTCGCAATGCCTTTGGCTCCTACCGGATTCACCACGCTATTCAATGATGATGAAAGGTTTTACAAGGGCTACTTGAGACGATTTAATGCGAAGTGGGTGGACACTGGAGATGCTGGGATGATTGACCAGGATGGATATTTGCACGTCATGTCGAGAAGTGACGATATCATCAATGTGGCCGCCCATCGGTTCAGTACTGGTACAGTCTCGCACCCTGTCAATATGATGGAAACTGAATGCTGACCCGTTTTTGATGAACAGGTGCTATCGAACAAGCCATCACATCGCACCCTGGTGTTGCCGAAGCATGCGTTGTCGGCGTCCCCGATGCTATGAAGGGACACTTGCCGTTTGCCTTTGTCATTCCTTCTGCCGCCACTCCCTCCGACCTGCCCGCGACGCCTTCCAAGGAGTTTTTCACCGGCATCAACAATCTCGTACGAAACCAGATCGGCGCCATTGCCTCATTGGGTGGTATCGTCCAAGGCAAAGGGATGATTCCCAAGACACGGAGCGGAAAGACTCTACGGCGTGTCTTGAGAGAACTGGTGGAGAATGCCGTCGAGGGGAAATATGACAAGGAAGTCAATGTTCCTGCGACAGTGGAGGACAAGGAGGTTGTTGAGGTGGCGAGGCAAAAGGTCAAGGAGTGGTTTGAGGAGCGGAAGAAGCAACAAGGAACGACCAAAGCCAAGTTGTAGGTTTCACGAACTGGACTGCTCTGTTGGGAAGCGAGTGCACATATTCCATTTTGCGGGTTCTTTTTCTGGACATCTGGGTATCTATTTGACCTGCTCTCAAAGGCCTACATAGGTTGATGTAACATGCGCCTCGAGGTGTATTATGTATCAGTCAAGCTCGTCGGCGGTGTCCCATATGTTATACCCATAACCCTACCTACAGTCGCGAGAAGAGGACAGGTAGTTTCCGGGACATCTAGCTTAGTATTCCATATTGAAAGGGAGGTTGAAGAAGGCCCTCTATTTGTGGAGCACGAGGTTAGACTCTAATTCGCCCGCCAAACCAGCCTATCAACGCCCGCACAATAAAAGAAAGGTATATATATAACATGCCACAAATTCTGTCATTAAAGCCCTGGTGGCACAATTGGTCAGCGCGGTAGGTCCTGCCGTTGTCTTTGGGGTTTGACTATGGTTCTAATTATGATTTAGTGAGACTTTTAAAGCTACATCTGAAGCTATGACTATCTCAAGGTTGAGAGTTCGAGCCTCTCCCAGGGCGTTTTCAGCAACGTTCTTTCTTCGGATTTTTTGTTTTATTTTTGATCCTCCTCACTTCTACTTTTGCCTAGGATGCTAAAGTCTGGGGTTTTGGGTTATTTTTGCAATAGTTGACTTGATTATGTGACTCGTGGTAATTCCATCTCTCCTCTTCTGAATAGTGACTACCTTACCTGCTCTTTTCGGCCTCTACACTTCAGCATATCGCCCAGACTTGACTTAAAGCATGGGATTTGACCCTAAAACAGAGCCGTCGCTCGGATAATGGCTTCAGATACGCTGCAAGATGCTCACCAGGAATGGAAAACTGTGCCAGAATATTCACAGTCTTGTAGCCTTTCGACTGACCGATTTCAACAAGTCACAGATCTGCTGTTGGAAAACCCCAATCTGAACTCAACTCACCTCTTCCGGGCCGACATCTTGTACGACAGTGCACACCGGCTGAAGACAGTTTTGGAAAAGGAGAGATTCTGTCAGCACCCTGGGAGAGGACCGAGCGATGAAGACGAAGAACGGGCCGCAGACGAAGATGATCCTGAACGCACATCTTCAGCACCAGTCTTCGAGGGGGCAACACTGCAACGAAAGGTCCTGAGGAAACTCATCCCTCGAAAGCCCCAGCTGGATCGTCCACTTGACCAGTGGTGCTATATCTACAGCCTCGACCAGCGAACAGGGGAGGAGAGTTCGGGGTGCATTGTCGTTTACGATCCGCAAGTAGATGCTGAGGCGGACATGCCATGGTATCATCCACCGGTCAAGTCTCTGGCATATTTCCACAAAGAAAAGGGGACTCAGACGACGCTGTCTGTTCATTTCCTTCCTTTCCCAACCACTCCTGACCCATTGCCACCCCGAACACATCGAACGTTCGTCTCACTGCTCCAGACGTTCCTCAGACTCGCGAAGAATCCTACGGCAGAACGAGCCATCACTGAAAGCGGCCAGAGAATGCCAGATGGGAAAGACTCGACAGGCTTGTCTCTCGCTCCATCGGCCCTCAAAGATACGATCCTTCCCCAGCACATCGTGCAAGACACATACACACGCCTGAAAGAGCAGTATGCTGGAGATCTCATTTCACAATGGGCGGAACAGACAGAACCGTCGAAGCACGTATTCGAAGACCTCGCCATTGCCGCCTTTGTCATTGAGCTCTGGAAGCAAATGTACCCGCAAGCACACACATTCCCGGGGTTTGTCGACATTGCATGCGGAAACGGTGTTCTGACGTACGTGCTCGTCAAGGAGGGATACCAGGGCCGTGGCTTTGATGCTCGAAGACGGAAGACGTGGGACGTTCTCGAGATGGACAACTACCTCGACGAGATGCTGTGCATCCCACAGCCGTTCCTAGACCACCTCAACGCCGAAGACATCGACGGGTTTCAAGAAGCAGGCGGCAGGATTCACAACGGGGTCTTCGAAGCCGGCACCTTCATCATTTCCAACCACGCCGACGAGCTCACCCCCTGGACGCCTCTTCTCGCCACACTGTCGTCTCCAAACTCTCCGCTACCCTTCCTAGCCATTCCATGTTGCTCGCATGCCCTGAGTGGCGCCAAACACCGCTACACACCCAAGGATGCCACATTCGCATCATCGTCATCCGCTACTACCACGAGTGCTACCAGAAGTAACAACAACCACACCGAAGAGCAGCCTGCCAGCGGTGACCTCAAGGCCCTCCGAGCGGCCAAGGCCAAAGCAGCGAACCACACCGACGACACATCCATGTATGCGTGTTTGACGAAGAAACTCGTCTCGCTGGCCCGGGAGGTCGGCATCGACGTCGAGTTGACACTGATGCGGATTCCGAGCACGCGCAACATCGGAGTCGTCGGGAACAGGCGGGGAGCTTCCCCTACTACTGCCACTCGTTCATCTACCTCTGCTGGTGCGACGACTTACGCAGCTGCGGCGCATCCCGGAGTAGATGCGACGAGTGTGAACCACGTAGACCCCGCGGTGGCGGCCGACGCCAACGCGAGTCTCGTACAAAGGACGCTCCAGGCCCTGCTGCACCGCGAGTGTGCCGTCTCAGGAGGCATAGCAGCCGCCGCGACGTGTTGGGTCGACCGGGCGCGCAAACTCCAGACTGGGCAGGGAAGAGGCAAAGTCAACCACCGCGGGCGACAACCCTGTGCAACTGGAACGTGATCATGAGATAAATCAAGCGTTCGCAGTGGCGGCCATCATACACACATACAACAAGCAAGCAGTTGAGCCACACCCAGATGCTGCACGCCAGAACAAGTTCAGAGCCGCAAAACATCGGTCCTTGGACGATGAACGAGCATATCTCATCTGGATATACAAACTACCGCCGTGTCTAGAGACTACCGCTCCTCGAAAAACTCCTCGAGGCGACATGGCTGCCGTCTCCGTCTACGTACACTTCCTCCTCCTCTTCCTCCTCCTCGACATTAGGCAACGCCACATTAAACAGCCCCTCGGCCCATTCGGCAAAGGTATCGAGATCCCACACTGCATTCTCTGGGCTCTTTCCCTTGCGAGAGATGGGTGTTGCCGCCGTCGCTGCTGCGCCGTTGACCTTGCCATTTCGTGTGCCGGCCTTCCCAGCGGACTGAGTGGTGTATGCGTCGAAGAACACCTCGTAGATCTGCACGACCTGGTCCTCCACAGCAGCGACCAAGGTCTCTCTCGTGCGATGGTCGTCCAAGTACTGTTCCAGCTTGGCTCTCAGGATCGGAATCTCCTTCTCAATCCTCGTCCGAGTCTTCTCTACCGCCTCGGCCAGCACGCCCTCCCGCTCGGCCTTTTTAGGCCCCAACTTCTCCAAGTCCTTGGGCAGATCTTTGCACATGTCCGCAGCAAACCCTGCCGTGAACTCGTTGATGGCCGTCCTCAACTGGCCGTCAAGTTCGACTTTCGCATCCAGCATGTTTTCCACTACACGAGGCAGCAATCCGCCAGAGCTGAACAGTTTCATCCAACTTGAAGGGTTGAACAGGCCACCCCGTTCGCGGATTTCCCAGAATGTGGATGCCACGCCTGAAAAGTCAAAGCTCACGTCCGGGGTAACGTATTCGATGTCGAACGCCACTATCTGGGATTTCAAAAGTAAGAGGTGCTTCAGGAGGAAAAGCCTTCCATCGACAGGCGAGGACTTGGTAGATATGAGTTGGGACGCCGTCACGAGAGATAGGGTGGTCTGGTGTACAATTTGGTGCGCCAAGTCGTCAAACACGGACGAGTTTACCAGCCGGTAGATGCGGGACAGGAGGCGGAGAGATCTTGAGAGTGTGGGATAGCAGTGTTTCAGAGCAGACCGGCGCGACGAGGCAAGTGACCAGCTGAAGCTACCTTCTTCGCCAGAATCGTCGTCCAAGTCGTTGGTGGTGGGTGTTTTGGGCAAAGGCGTCAGAGCGTCCCGGGACGAGCGGCGCCCAGAAAGCATGACGGTGGCCGACACAGGCGGCGCGGAGGTGAGACGAGGGTAGTCCAGGTCTTCAGGTTTGGGTTTGAACATTTCAATTTCTTCACGGAGAATCGCCAGCGCGCGGAAAACAAGGCGGGTTTGTGCATCCTCCAGCGCCGGCTGGATGAGCGCAGAGAAGTCGAGCTGATTCAGATCTGTGGGCCCGTCTTCTTCCTCGTCGTGAAGATAGCGAGTTTGAAGCAGCGTGACCAGTGAGCAAAGCTTAGAGAGCTTGTTCTCATGAATGATCCGAGGTCGAAGATGATCGTACAGTGGTTCACAAATCGACTCGAGGAAATCGTAGAGCCCTCGATAGCCGTGGAACCACTCTGACCACAGCTCGAACTCGTCAAGACATATGCCCCGGATGTAGCCGATACTGGCCCGTGCAAATTGTACCAAGTCCTTGGAGCTGGGTATCTGAGCCGTCTCGGTGAGGCGCTTCTGGACGATGGGTAGAATCAATCTCCCTCGACAGGCAGCGAAGCTGGAGTGCAACTCGTTCATTAGGCTCTGGTATTCCCCTTCTGTGCCTGGATCTGCGTCCGCGGGCGGGTTGGCACGCTTCTGAATCTCCAGGCCGAGTTCCTTCATCTCGGCCGCTCCCACCCGGAATTTGGCATAGAGGAGCGCGGACATGGTGGTGTCGTTGAGCTGTTTCGCTGCAATGCGGCCGGCAACTTCAGTAGTCGTCTCCCGCACTGCCGCCATGAACGTGTTGCGCACCAGCGTCAATGCCCGGGTGAGCAACAGCCTGTAGCGTGACCGATAGGTTTCCGCTTCCTTATGTGACGGGTGCGTCTGCATGTAGTCTAGACATTCGTCCAGGGTGACCAGCATGTCTGAAAAGTCCTTGGTGCCAACGAAGCTACCAGCCTGCGGTGCATTGAGACGACGGGTGATTCGTTCGAGCGGCTCATAATAGCGCAGGTTCTCGGCGATTTGTTGCGCCACAACTTCACTTTTACGCTGCTCATCGAGGATAGAGGCAGACTGGGCCTGGAAGGACTGTGTTTGAGCGCTGACGGCCTTGAAGGAAGCAGAGATGGAAGAAAGCTCGTCGAGCGTGGCAGCGGTGGAGGCGAGGAGGGTCTCGAGGTGAGCGCTGGCAGCGTCAAGTTGGTCGAGATATTGCCTGTCCTGATGTTCAGCGAGAAAAACACGACATATAGTGGTTTCCGAAGACGCACTGGTAGTCATCGAGACTTGCGTCCAACAGGACGTCGTCTATATCTCCGGCTAACTTGAACAGCTCGAGTTCTGTTTCTGCGCTCTCGAGTTGTGCTAGAGTGGCATCATCCTCGGCGTTCGGGATTTCTCCTTCTTCCAAAGTCATGGCAGTGACCTAGGTTGGTGACGGACTGCTAATTCCTTAGACGAGTCTCATAAGACTGGCCATGCGGGAATGGTGTTGGCCTTTTCATTGCCTGTGGACCATGGTGTACAAACTGAATGGCCTGTTCGAGGTGAGGGCGGAGAATGATAGCACGAGGCTGAACAAAAATGGACCAATGATATTCCTTGGGATTTGGACGAGGCTGTGGTCAACGGTCAATGACGCACACCATTTCCGAATACGAGCCCTGCTACCATCTGGTTCATTCTGACTATCTACAAATCTACAGCAGAACAACTATATCTCGATCATGTGAGATATAGTGTACGCACAGCCGTCATCAAAGAACAGCCATGTCCTCGAGAACTCTGCCAGCTGCCGCCGCGCGCACCTTCACTCGACCACGGCGGGTCACGCTCTCTCAGTTGAAGTCTCGTGCTCCGTTCTCGAGGGCGGAACGCTTCTCCCAAAAGGCCACACGCAATGCCGCTACTCACCAAGCATGGAAGCGACCCTCCGCTGCTATCTTTGCAGCGGCAGCCACGGTGGCTCTAGTCTATACAACAACGACCCAGATGCACGCTGTGCAGGCAGAAGCTCCACCCCCCGAGACCCAGGAGGTCGTGATCGAAACATCCAAGAAGAGAAAGGGCGTTTCAAAGGAAGAGAATAGGGACCTCATCAGCTCCCAGCATCTCCAAGTCAAGAAGAGTTGGGAGAACCCTGGCGTGTATGCGTGGGGGTCGAATACCGGTCGAGTCGTGGCCCCAGATTCAGATGAAACATACATCAAGACACCGCGGAGATTGAGCTGGTTCGACGATGTCCTGCTTCGAGATCTGAAGATTGACCGTAATTTCGGCGCAGCCGTCCTGGAGAATGGAGATTTGGTACAATGGGGCATCGAATACTCGGAGGACATACGACAACCAACAGTTACACTGAAGGGGAAGAATCTGACCTCCATTGCGATATCAAGAGATCGTATCATCGGGCTGAGCAAGAACGGAACCGTATATTCTATACCAGTGTCCAAACTGGATCAGGAGCGCGGACACAAACAAACCGATAGTTCTTGGATCCCGTTCTGGAGTTCAACCCCGACGATCAGCTACAGGAAGCTCGAGCCCAAGAATCTGAGAGTTGGAGAGCGGGTCGTTGCCATCAGCGGTGGCCTTGAGCATGTTCTTTTGCTCACCAATTCAGGACGAGTCTTCTCTGCCGCCTCAGGAACCGAGGACTTTCCGAGTCGTGGACAGCTGGGCGTCCCAGGAGTGACATGGCTCACGCGTCCTGAAGGCCGCTACGACATGTGCCACGAACTGACCACACTCAAAGGCTTCGAGATCACTCAACTCGCTTCCGGAGATCACCACTCTCTTGTGCTCGACAAAGAGGGTCGCGTCTTTGCATTCGGTGATAACTCTTCCGGCCAACTTGGTTTCGACTTCAACCCGGAAGCTCCTTTCGTCGACACGCCTTCTCTCCTCCCCACTACTCGTCTGTACCAAGGTACGAACCAATCGTCCAAGGTCACTTCAATCGCGGCTGGTGGTTCCAACAGCTTCTTTACCATTGACGCTACGCGCATCGCAGGCCCGGAGGAAGACCCCAGCTCTATCTCAACTCTGGGCAAGATCACCGCCGACACATGGGCATGTGGCACGGGCATCAAGGGGACTTTGGGCAATGGAAAATGGACCCATATCCAAGGTACACCAACCCGTATTCCGTCCTTGTCGGGCCTCTTTGAGTATGATGAAAAGACCCGAAAGGTGGTTCCGATCCGAATGTCCCAGATTTCCGTTGGGAGCACCCATGCCTCAGCAGTGCTCGACAACGTAACCTACCTAGATGCTTCGGAGAAGTCTTCAGAGGACGACACCAACTGGGGCTCCGATGTGCTCTGGTGGGGAGGAAACGAATTCTATCAGCTGGGCACAGGCAAGAGGAACAATGTGCCGCTCCCGACGTATATCCGGCCGTTGGACATGGCTAGTGAGGCAGAGATGGGAAGAAAGGAGGAGCACAGATTGCATTTGACACCTATGCATGCTGTACAGCTGAAGACTAATGGGAGGAAAGTGAGAATGGAGCAGCGTGTGGTGTGCGGCAGGAATGTGACGGCTGTTTACTCGGCTGTGTGAGAGTTGCTACATCTCGCGATGTCTGTGTATATGTGTTGCATGGAGATGTTTCCAACGCCTTGCTGTGGTGTCCCACGAGGTGCTTCAACGGACATTGACGTCTCAATCCACCCAGTCCGACTCTCTCTCTCTCTCTCTCTCTCTCCCCTCTTCGGGTACTACGATGCCCCTTCACGAGAATGTCTTATATAGCTAGCCAATCTGTTTGGTTTGACACGCTTTTGGAACGACCGATCTGCAATCTGTTAGGACATTTGTTGGACATTCGGAATAAGGCGCTGTGGTGCGCGAAGCACCGTCGGCTAGTCTGACGCTTGAGAGAGAAGGCTGATGCTAGAAGGGCAGAACCGTGGTTTCCTATGATGCTCTCTTCGTTACCTCGTCTCCTCGTCTCCTCTGGCTTTATCGCGACGCACCGTCGAGAAAGGTTCGGATTGATGTCGTCGAACGCGCCATGCTGCCTGTGTAGACGACGAACGATGGGTTGAAGAGTGATTCGGGACAGATAAAGGACTTGTGGTCAATTATGATTCTTTCCAGCAATCAGCCACACTTGTCTCCGCTGTATGTACCACCAGGGCAAGCATATGTCCACGCCACCTTGTTTGAACCATCGTGTCTTTGACTCCGGTTCCAATAGAATGCCCTCAATCAGTCATACTCTTCATCTCATCTAATATGCATGCACGTCGATTCATCTTTCCGTGAATACGGCCCATCCCATACGCCAAACACCTTGCTGTCGGATTCGAAACCAGTGCACCTTGATTCCACGTGGCTCTAATGAACCATGACCTCCGGTTTGGCCTCTGTCACTTTACTTTCGCCATTCGCTTGTGCCGAAGTCGTGTTGGAGGCAGCAGTGGGTTTCTCATCGCCCTCACCCATCTCCGCATCTTCACCTTCTGCACCCTCCTCATCTTCTTCGTCGTCTTCGCTCTCACTGCTTTCCTCCTCAAGATCTTCACTTTCAGCCTCGCTGGCTTCTTCCTCCTCGTCTTTGACTTTGTGACTGTCTGTCATTTCTTGGTCCGCATTCGTCGTGTCTTCTCGAGCCATCTTTGCTTCGGTCTCTTCCAGTTCTTTCTCTAGAGCTGCTTGCAGCTCTGCTTCTTCTGCACCATAGTTGGCTCCATCGTCGTCAAGCGTGTCAGCTTCAGGCTGCTCGGGAGGATACTCGGCTGGAGCAGATTCTTCAGAGTCCCTGTTGGCAGATTTTAGTTAGGGTACGAACCTGCAGCCCGAGGGAGTTTACTTACCACTTGATCGCGAATCTGGTGACCCTGGGTTTTTCTGCAAGCACATTGCGGCGGATCTTTTCAATCACCGGCTTAGCAGGTGGATCGGCATTCAATATCTCGTCATCGTATTCGTTGTTGACGTAGTAACCGACGCGCACGAACTCTCTTCCATCATAGGAGCAGGTCAGGAGGATCACTGTCACGCCGAGGATTTCAGATGGTGGCAGGCGAGATAGGTTCGGAGGATCAGCTTCGAAGATAAATTTGTTGACTCCGATAGGAATGGGTCCCACAAGGAGAGAGTCAAGCTCTTGATCGTGTTCTGCGGACGTAGCAGAGCCGACATAGGTGAGTTTCCACTCTAGGTCTATGATATATAGATAGTCGTCAGTCAATCTGAAATGAAGAAAGGAGTTCTCCCAAGATGAGTTTACCTTCACGAAGTTGCTCAAGACATTCGAACGTAATTTCAAATTCATAGGGTGCGGTGAATGGCGCAGGATTGTTCAGGACTTTGACGCCCAACAGGGAAACCACCGACATGATTGCGACAAGCGCGACAGACGTGCTTTGGTGGGTGTGTCGAATTCAGCGCGCCCAATGATGTGCTGATGATGGTCTGGAATAGCACTTTGTAGAATGTTTGACTGCGTAATGGAGTTGTGGAAGAGTTGTTTGCGAGAACTGAATCCAAGAGCGCGAAAGTGCCATGGCCGCGTTAAAAGTCGCGTCGTCGGCTTTAAATTAAATGCAGCCTGCCCGCAATCAACTACAATGGCAGGTTAGCCGAACAATGTTAAGTTCTTCCGCCGAGGGTTTGCAAGTGACAAATTCCAACCACAAGGGCATGCGCCGTCAATCACTGTGTCACCGGCAGTAACAATCTAGGCTTTGCGTGAAGTGAAACGAATTCCATCAACGAAGGACCCTTTTTCGTTTCGTGACCGTCTCTGCCAACTATCCGAGTCGACAACAAGGATGATGTCCGCTTTCAAAAGGCTCTTCTAGTTGTTGTTGCGCAAAAGGTGAGTTTACTCCTCGCGTGCCTAGCAGACAATGTATGTTGACGGCTCTAGAGCAGCTTCCCTTCTTCGATCTCACTTTCTTTACCGACCACAGAGAGTAGGCGGGGCGTTATGGCAAATTCAGCTACAGGATCGCCGTCACCATCGTCTGAGACGGCGCTGTCATCATACTTCAACGGTACTGCGGCTGCCTCCGACCAGCCAGGCGCAAGTGCTGCACAGTTATCGCAACCCTTCGCTCCCTCAGAGCAGAGTCCTGTCGATAATCAGCGTGATCCAATATTATCTCCAACTCAATCCGCTCTTCATCCTCTCCCCACCAAACCTGTCAGCCAGCTCTCTTCTCAATCCGCCACCCCGGCCATGACTCAGTCTTCTACACCCGCGCCTGCGCAGTCCAAACCCCGCATTGTGGGTGGTTTTGAAGTTGATGATGATCCTGAAGATGAGGAAGGGACACAAGACGGAAAGGATGAGGTTGATGTCTACGATCCGTCCGTCGGGCTAGACTTCGACGTCTCGACACCTGTTCCTCCCCTTGCAAATCAAAACTCCAATCCCCTTAATAGAGCTTCCCAGTCACCAGAACAAGAAAATGGAATCACTCCTGTTCCTGTCCAGGCCACTGGTAGTCCTGCTGACGCTGACCTTTCTTCTTCCACTACTCTTCCTTCTGGTGCCAGTGTTGATGTGCGTGCTGCCACTGCCACACCTTCTCACTCAGCTCCTGATGTTCCGACTCAGAACTCTCCACCCCGCTCGCATGTGAATGCCTCTGTTGCTCCAGGCTTACCCAAGTCTCGACTAGCTCATGATGTGGTTGGTATTCTGGAAGATCGCATCAAGGATGACCCTCGTGGTGACATTGATGCATATCTTGAACTAATCGACGAATTGAAGAGTCGAAACAAGCAAGAAGATGTCCGTCGAGTGTACGAGCAATATCTCAAAGTCTTTCCCCTGGCCGTACGTGCTTGTTCTCTTTCGTATTGGTTTGCCGTGCACTAATGGATTCCAGGCCGAACAATGGTGTGCATATGTGAAGTGGGAAGAGGAGCAAGATCGAATGCGGGCGATGGAAACCCTCTTCAACCGATCGTTGCTTGATGTGCTTGATGTGCAACTCTGGACTCTGTACATCAACTATATCCGCCGACGGAACAGCATGCAAACTGGCGATATCACTCGCTCGTACACCATCATCAACGATTCCTTCACCTTTGCACTCAAGACTATCGGAATGGACAAGGACTCGGGCCAATTATGGCAGGACTATATTAACTTCCTCAAGACTGGCCCGGGAATCGTTGGGGGCAGTGGTTGGCAAGATGGGGCAAAAGTCGACGCTTTGCGAGAGGCATACCAAAAAGCAATTGCTGTTCCTACCGCAGCAACCATGCCCCTCTGGAAAGAATATGATGCGTTTGAGACAGGGCTGAACAAGATCAACGTTCGTTGAAATGGCACCCCCATGGCTCAGGAACTCTGCTAAAATCTCTCTAGGGTCGGAAATATCTTCAAGAGAAGTCTCCCGTCTACATGACCGCCAGGACGGCCTTCACCCAGCTGCAGAATTTGACCAAGGAGCTGAAAAGGACCTCGAGACCGCAACTGCCACCCGCACCTGGGTTTGAGGGTCATGCCGAGTATATGCATCAAGTCAGTCTGTGGAAGCAGTGGATTGAATGGGAAAAAGACGATAACCTTGTTCTCAAAGACGAAGACCCTGCTCTGTACAAGAACCGGATTTTGTTCACATACAAACAAGCACTCATGGCCTTGGAATTCTGGCCTGAGATGTGGTATGATGCCGTGGAATTCTGTTTCAGCAACGGCCTTGACGCCGAAGGCACCAAGCTCCTCAACCAAGGAATTACGGCCAACCCGGAGTCGCCCCTGCTGGCATTCAAACTGGCAGACCGCATCGAGGTATCGACTCAGAATGATGAAAGTGCAGATCCCGGTGCCAAAGAACGGATGAAGAAAATAAGAGAGCCATATGACAAACTGTTGGATGCACTCTACGAATTGATCAAGAAGGTATCGATCCGCGAGAAACAAGACATTCAGAAGGCGGAACTTACGGCTGCTGGCAACGGAGGGGATGGTCTTGGGGACGACGACATCAATGTTTCCAATGTCGCAGCCAAGAAGGCGGCCATGGACAGCCAAATTGAGACGATCAAGAAGAGTGCCCAAGCACAGACCGACGTGCTCAGTCGAATGGTCTCGCATGTCTGGATCGCACTGATGCGAGCGACCCGACGAGTGCAGGGAAAAGGCCTACCGACAGAACGAGGACCTAGTGGCTTCCGTGCTGTCTTTGGCGAGGCGCGCAAGCGAGGCAAGCTCACGAGCGACTTTTACGTTGAATCTGCGCGGATTGAGTGGCAATGCTACCGGGATCCCACGGGCACCAAGATCCTTGACCGTGGGATGAAGCTGTTCCCCGAAGACGACTACCTCCCGCTTCAGTATGTGAAACACCTCTTTGACATCAACGATGTCACGAATGCACGAGCCGTCTTTGAAACCACGGTCAAGAGACTTCTGGGCCACGACGACGCTGAGCATACAGCAAAGGCCAAACCGCTGTTTGCTTTCCTGCACGACTACGAATCCAAGTACGGGGAATTGGCTCAGGTCCAGTCGCTTGAGGAGCGGATGAAGAAGCACTTCCCCGAAGATCCTCAGCTGAAACTCTTCTCTAGCCGGTACAACACCTCGTCTTTTGACACTATGAAGACGTATCCCGTCATCTCGCCACAGCAAGTGAGGCCTCTGCAAAACGTGGTCATGCCCTCTGTGGAGGTATCGGACGTCGTGAACTCTCCCATTCAAAAGGTGATTGACGCCATCACAACCCATTCTCCGAAACGGCCATTCCCAGACGATTTTGAAGATGTTGGTCCACGTAAATTGGCGCGTGGCGAGTCGCCCTTGAAAGGTGCAGCGGGTCGTCGCATGAATCAACAACAGCAGCAACAGCAACAGCAGCGCCAGATCAACCCTCCTGTCGGGATGCCACAGTACCAAGCTCCTCCACCGCTACCGCCAGCAGTTGTTTACCTTCTAAGCATCCTGCCAAGGGCTTCGACGTATGTCGACACCAGGTTCGATGCCGTGAAGATCATGGAGCTTATTCGCGATGTTCGTTTGCCTCCGCCAGGAGCAGTCCCTGCTCAACACAGCCAGACTCCAGCCCCGGCACCCCAGCCAGGTTGGCCTGCGTATCCGCCACATCCACCTGTACCTATCCCGCCACAAGGCTTCGGACCGCCGACTGGTGTAACACAAGGTCCGTACGGAGGAGGTAAGTGGCTGCTATAGTCTCCACTCTCGAAGTCATGTTACTGACAAGGATCCCAGCACCATTCCGATACGCTTAGATACGAGATGGGCACTGTATTGGAGGGTGACGATTGGCGTGGGAGGTCGAGCATGATGTAAAACCAACACTTTATGTTTTCAGCATTTTAGCAGCCTTGGGATCCAAATGAGGGACAGATAGCAAAATGTCCACGCTATCACAGAGTCTCGGACAGGAAAGGTTCATTGATTGGGATCTTGCAATGATCGAAAAAGTCAGCTGCGATTGAGCCAGCATTGGAATCTCAACAAAATAATATCTTGTGTGTTTGGCCTGCTTGTGGTGTTCCCGCTCTTTGTCTGCGTCATCTAACCCGTATCCTGTTTCTTGGTCGCATGCCGTACGATAGGGCAGCTTTGCATGAGCCGTTCTCGACTGTAAGCGGACGGATGCCTGAGGCGAGGGTGTTTGGGCGAGGTGCTTTCAGGGTTTCGTCTGGTGTGTTAGTTCGATCCAATGGACAGGGGAGATTTCGCGGAAGACGAGCAAAGGTCATGCAGACCCATTGGTACGGAAGGCTGCAACCGCAGAGGCTAGGTTGGATGTAGAATGGTCGAATGGTTGAACTGAAAGAGGGGAATTGCCAGCCTCACACTCCTCACCGCCGAGAGGTTTGCAATGACGCTGGCTGGCTCTGGGAGAGAGAGGAGTGAGATGAAGCTGAGAGGCAGTCAGTTCACTTTGGTCTCTTTGGTCTCTTTGGTCTCTTCTCTGCTCACATCTTCACGCTTCTGAGACATTGGCAAGTGACAAGGCCGCGTTGTTGTCTTGTAGAAAAGGAACATGTGATTTTTGGCTACAAATATCTCCTTCTTCTTCTCCTCCCTGCAACCGCTTGTCTCCTTTCTCCATAACCCACCTCATTCATTCTCTTCTTCATCTTGCTTCTTCTTCTCTGTCCTTGTCGTCCTCATTCGTCATTAATCTCATCTTCTTCCCCTATCTCCTCTCCTCTTGAGCAAGTGCAGGATACCTCTCGAGAGGCAGCTTCAGTTGCCTGTCAACACCGTTTCTCACACCCACCAACTTCTCAATCAGGCGCAGGTGAGCCACTGCAGTTTCCTTTCTCATCGCTCGCACCTCTTGCACCTTCCTGCAGCAGTCAGCTTGAATCCGAGACACCGTCCCAAACAAGAAGCTGTACCTGC